ATGTGTATAGTAATATACGTTTTTATGCGATTGTAATGTATTTAAGATGATTATGTACGCTTATTTAATTTAATTTTAATCAATTTTATTTACATGTAAGTATTTGAACAATGATTGACATTTTGAATCAATTATTACAGTTAAAAAGTGGTAAGTAGAAGTTACTAAAAATACTATATAATATATTTCAATAATGCTTAAATTCTATGAGGATCCTTGTCGCACAGTATTCGCAAAAGATGTAGGTACATGGATTATCCCAAAAATCTTCCACAGTTATCTTCGGCCATCTATATTCAGACAACCTCTTCATAAACTCAAAGATTAAGCGCTGAGCAGTGCTACCAATATCCTAGGTCAGTAAGTTTGGATTGGCATCCTCCGAGGTGTGACGAAACGCATGTATAGGTTTATTACTTGAAATTTCTAAAGTTAACAATAATATCGTGACTTAGCGTAATAGTGTAGTCTGTGATCACAAGGTATTATATGCAATCAAAACGTTCCGGTCGAACGGAATCAACAAAACGACTAGATCTGCCAAACAATGTGGTAATAATAATTATTATACAGACATAATATCATTAAAATCGTCAAGAGACAAGAAGAGTTTTTGCGCCTTATCTACCCGAGAAGAAACTATTCATAATAACTAGTACCGAAGGAATGGTATGCACTAACTGTTACCATGATTGTGGTAAAAGCCATTCGGGGACAATCATATATTCGCAAACGGTGTGAGGACGGAAATGTGAAAGTGACAGGTTACTGTTTAGGCGGTACCTACTGTGTACGGAGCCAACCAATTGTGTGTAAAATTAGAAATGTTGTACATATCTCAGCTAGTTATTTAATATAATGTATACAAGAGTGTTTTTAACGTTTTAAATTTATTTAGAGAGTGTTAAATGTCTATGTTTCTAACATGTATATTATGTAAGTATAATAATTGAAATGTTATTCCCGCTTTATTTATCAAGACGTAAAGCTGATTTTAACTTTTACACGAATTTTTCAAAATTAAGATCACTATAAATGCATACGGTATACCTTTTAGTTTATGATTATTATTGAATTATTTGTAAAAAAAAAATCTTTGTACAAAAATATTATTAAATCAATAATAATTAAACATAGAAACAAAATTAATATTTGCGGTGGTCCATGAGGATGACTGGACTATCAAAAGGAAAATGACAGACATACAAGTATTAAAAAGATTTCTTATAAAATTTAATTTGAAATATTAAAAATAGTGGTATAAAAGTGAAAACGTAGGGTACTACATGAATTAAGTAATTAAGATTATCCTGATTGAAATATTATGGGGAAGTAAGAATTAATATTCACATATATCAATCTACTATTATACTAACAGTAAAATAGGGTGTAGCAAAATAGTAATAGGGTACTTAAAATTAATTTTAACACCTGATGTTGATTTTACTAGGCACGACACTGATCAATGTTGTCAATTGGAAAAAAAAAGTTCTGATCGAGTTGAAAAAACTTACATACAACGAAACTAATAAAAAATTCCATCATCAACAAAAAGAGAATTTATTTAATTAATAAGTAAAAAAAATATCAAGTAGGTAATTTTTTTTTGTACTCAATATTTTTTTAAAATCATTTTATCAGATAGGTTTAATAAAAATTAAAAATTAACTCATTCTTTGTTATTTAATTATTAATTTTAAGTAAAAATGTCTAGAAACCTAGTAATAGGTAATCTACAAAATACTTTTATTATGATTTAAAATTACCTATGGTTAAATAGATCTATTAAGTCATGAAATTATTTACGTATTAAAATGAATAGTTATTTCTTGTAAACATTAATAAATTTAATTTCAAATATAAGTTTTGAAAGCTGTAGTGGCCCGTGGGAAGTTTGTGTATCTACCAATATGGTTATTTACTTAACATTTTCAAAGCTACAGAGTGTAGACGCTTTATAGTACGGTATACATAGACGTGCGCAGACTTTCATTTCCGGTTGAGCCTGAAACAATTAATGCCCCAATATTTGAACAGTACTCTTGATTTTTTTTTTTTTTTATAACATATTAATTTATTTTCTAATTATAAATTAAAGACTGTGTAAATAGAACCAAGTTGTATGTACAGTGTACACATAACATTAATATGCTAATTTTTAGTCATATATTTTTTAAATTAAAAATAAAATGATATAATTACATTATTATACATAAAAAGAATTATTATAATTTATAAATAATACATTTAAATACCCAAAATTTAATAAAAAATTTGGTTTAATGAACAAAAAATTGTATAAACATGATATTATATTATATAAATTTATAATTATGTAATAATTTTAATTAAAGAATTATAAATTAATTCTCCTATTTCCCATATTTTTGAATTCCCCAATAGCCATGTTAATATTAATACAAGATGTTAGTTTTGGTTCAGTAAACATTAATAATAAACTATCAAGTCGTTCTTGATGTATAAATATAATACTCCTTAATTTATTTTTTACTATTGTTAATTTAGAAAATATCCATTCGCAGGAACTGCAACTTTTAACTGGTATTACACTGAATAATTTCAGTGCAGTCAAAAATCCATTAAATTATTTTATGTAATTATTTACTTTCATATAATCTAACCACGAATGTATCGATTTATTATTAGTATTAGTATCTGGTTGAAATTTTATTATACCTCAAAAAACATTCTGGTTGAGCCAGGGCTCGCCTCATGCGCACATCTATATAACGCTACCATAGAGATCCACCATATGCGTCACTATTATAGTAGGTACTATATCGAACATCGATTAGGTATCCTAAAGTATTGCGTATATTAAATTAAATGTATGATGTTTATATTTAATTAAATTAAAATTATGGAAGTATATATTTATTATTTCATATTGTATATGTAATAAAAATTAATGTCCACTTAAAAACTTTATCTGCTTTTTACACGATTCAAATGGTATAATTAGAAATTATTATTAATAATTTTATTAAAAGATTGCACGTTTCATTAATGCTGCCAAATACGAGATAGACGTTTTATTCAATTGATTAAATTAAATTAAATTTAAATTCTATTCTTGTTGATATTCGTACATCAATATGTACTATATGTCAACCAACTATATGATTCAGCTATAAATTATAATAATAATTGTGTGAACACAGCGATAGAGAGAATTTCTGGGTGATATTTATATTGCACTGCTGCAGAAATAGTCAATGGCAAATAATAAATGTGTGACGTGTGTAATTATTAATTCATGGCTAACTTATATTTTGCAAATTTTAATAATACGTTAAATTTCAGCGTATTACAATAGCATTATTTAAATATTATATTGTGATGATTTTTCTCTTCTCGAGATCGTAATTTGGCAACTATCTACGACCTACCAGCTATACAACGTTGCGAAAAACACATCGATTACAATTTATAACATTATAGATATAGAATATCCTGCACTTTATATTAATCAATTATAACAATTTAATATTTTAAGAATTATTGATACGACTTAAGAATATGTAATACGTATCTATATCACTATAATATGTCTATCTATTAAGACTATTGAATTCTATTCTTTTACAAGCGTTGACTAATTATCTATACTTAAAAGTTTAATTATTGTTGCGTATTTTTGTTCACTTGACTCTATCGTGTGAATTCCGCTGTAGTCTGTAACAATATAATATAATATCTATTTTCCAACAATTTTCACACAATATAAATATTATTCCTCCATAACTATCTACACGGTCTGACAAATTTTAGGATTAATGATGTGAATTTCTTCGTTTAGGGAAATCGAATCAATATGAGTAATCGAATAAATAATGAATTACAGCACGTGATGGGTGAGCAAACGTCAAATAACTTAATACTGCAGTAAAGTAATACCAGTGATACTACTTACACGTTTGAAAGCCTGCATGTAAGAGTATAACAGGGGTTTTTAACCAATTACCTCCAAGTTATTATAATTTATTAACTAAACATATATTATGTACAGTACTGATATTGACTATTTTTAATTAAAAAAATGAAAAAAGCGATTTATTTCAAAATTTTTCAAAGTTATCTTAAAATCTAAAAATCTTTAATTCACTCTCTGAAACCCCTAAAGTCAAGCAGTCATAAATTAAGAAAATATATTTTTTAATAATATATTTCAATAATTCCACTAAATAAATAATAAATAACTAAAATATTTTATACACGAGTGTCCCCTGAGGCCCTGAGGAGTGTGCCTATTACCCTTAGTGAATAAAGTATCAACAGAACAAAAATTTTTTTTTCACAATTTTTCTAGAAGCTAAAAAACAATTCAAAATCATAAAAATAAAATGACATTTTATTTTTAAAAACGATATTTAAAAATCAATATTTGTCTTATTATTAATAATTACAAATTAAATCTGTTATATTTTTTTAAATAATTATATAATAATAATATTTAATTTGATAATAACATTGATAAATAGGAGTTTATACTTAATAGATTAATGGATAGATAGTTAGTAACAGTTATCATAATATTGAAAACAATTGCGGTTTGTAGTTAAAAATGTATAACCACGATAATACAATTTAATCATTGTACTTATTGAAAAAACTCTGCTGTCAACTACCTACTTTCAACAGCTATAATTATTATAGATATAATATTTCTTTCTTCGATTAATAAAGACACAGTTCATTGACAATTGGTACTTAAAAGCGAGCTATAAAAGCATAAAATTTAAAAATCAAAGGGAGCCGTTTAAAACTTGGTGGTCGGTTAGTGGTGCACGTCTCTCACACTCGGTATTGCATTGCGGCACTGAGCGCCGAGCGGCATTATTCACTATTATAGTAACAGTAAGTACTATAATCACTGTCAAGGTCATGCCTATATAATACTAGTAATAATCAGCTGAGTGTTTGTCGTGACTGTTCTCGAGTGTCGTCGGCTAACCTCGTCCTCGTGCACACGCCGCACGCTCAACACTCGTCCGTTCGTCACTTCATCAGTTGTAAATTTGTAATTCATAATTCATTAATCATTTATCGTTAGTGGTCTACTCATTTTTGAAGTGTGTAGCTTCTGTAGCTGACGGTCAATCAGTAGACTCGTTTCAAGTCCGCGTGTTGAAATCGTTGGCGACAGAAAATACATCGTTTTCGTTTCAATTCTAATATAATATAGAGGTAATATAAGTTCTACATAACTAGAAAGAAATACGTGTCTATCACCTTATGATATTATATTGACTAACATTATAAATTATTAAAATTATTTATGTATGCATAATCTACAGTAGGTACACTATATTATATTCCTAAATAAAGTAATAAGTAGTAATTTAATTTAGTTGATTTAAAGTTATTAATTCAAATTCGTGGCCGAAATTCAAATGGCGTGCGTCAGTGTATTGATTATTTTACAATTGTGAGGCAATATGTTGAAATCTAAATGAACATGTTTTTATCGCATTTACTTTTTTTAACTAAAAGTAGGTACTATTTTTCTTTCTTTATAAATCACGCTAATTTCATAAGCATTTAAAAATATTAAATATTTTAAACACTTTAATCAGACAATAATATAAATTACAATTCAAATAAACTGGTACCTAGGTATACGTATTTTTTACTGACTAAAATAAAATCTTTAAGAATTCATAAATCGATTTATTACTTAGTGAATTTCCTATAGAAAATGTTAAAATATATGAAATAGAATATAATGTATAATTGTAGATACTTTTAGAATTTTAGATACTGAATGGACCGTTGAACATGTTGGTTTTATGATGTGTTTTTTTTTTTATCTATCATAACTCATTATCTTTTTTTAACAATAAAAATGATCCGATTTTTAACTTAAAGAGTAGCTTCAAATAGAAAATTGAATTTAGCTAGCACTTTGAAGAGTCAAACGTAATAAAAAAAATTAAGGAAAATCTCGTAAAACAGGTTTTTAACAAAACCTATTTTATTTTTTCGTTAAAATTCAAACGCAATTCAAGTTCATTAAATGAAAATTTAACACACTCATTAGAGTGTTAAACTTATGATAACATAAATGTACACAGTTCACTCTCAATACCTACTTTAAAGTAGATTATGCAAGTACCCGATTTAATTATTTACATACTTATTGTATAATGTTTAAATGTGTATTATTAATTTTGTATTTAAATAAATTTATTCCTCGGTAAATGCATTGTTTTAAACTACTTCAAAACGGAAATTATAAATATTTCATTGAAAAGAAAGAAGAACAGTATAAACATATACCGATCGAAATTATTCCTAATAAATATGTCTTTATAAAATTAAAATCATAATTATATACGCAAAAGTACATTATAGTTTTGTGTGAAAAAGCCGAAATCTTGCCGATTTTTATTGGAACACCGCGATGTACATACTATGACGTACACGGCTGTTTATTTTTTGAGCGTTCTACCAAAATGTGAACTGTTTTTAAAATAGTGTACAATTATAAATCATAATTACAAAACACAAATATAAACTATAGTCAGTAGTCGTAGACAACTAGACACCGAGTTTCTTGTCTCCGCGTATTACTTTTTCTTACATGTGATATTTGCAATACTTGAATAATATTATCTCATACATTTAAAACCTATTGCACGCAGTTAAAGTAATCCAACTCTATATTTAACAACTATCCGTAAGCTAAACCATACACGTGGACATAGTATCGAAATATTTATCTCAATTGATTTAAACTAATAATATTACAGTAAGCTTGCACTTGAAAAAATTATGACACTGACATTAAAAAAATATTTATTTCCATGTAATACTAAATGAATTATTTTATGATGGCGTAAGCAATTAATACAAAATCTAATACTCCTCGTAAAAATGTTTAATACCCTATAATCACATTATCGATCACATTTTTGTTCTTTAATAAATTGCGTATAAAGTTATGTATTTTTAGATTTAGAATTTAGTACCTACCTATACAATAGATATTAGTATGTGATCATTAAATTTTAATATAGATATAGTCAATTAAAATAATAAATAATTTTTAACATAGCTTTTTTAATTTTTATAATTAACATAATAGTCTTTGTTTAAGTTACATTTTTTTTTAAATGGAGAAACTTTTTCAAAAATTGAACTGGTTTATTTTATAAGAATAAATTGGTTTCTACATTTAAATTGAACTCAATAAGTATGCTTATTATAACTACTATACAGAATTATAGTTATACGTAGGAAAAATCATTTATTGTAGAAATGTTTTCTAATAAGCTGTGTTAATATTATAGTAACATTTAAAATATTTTAAAAACAATTTGTTAAATTATATCTTGAAAATTATTTTAATCAAAAAGTTTATTTTAAGATATAAAGGCTTAAATTTTTAACGCAGAGTTTCATATAAATTGATTAATTTAATAGTTTAATGGTGGGTCATTAAATCATATTTAAAAAACTATTAGCCCACTGTTGATTTATTAAATTTATGTAATTCAGCATAAGCAGATTTCAAAATATTAAATAAACACTTTATTAGATTGACAAAAAATTTTACTTAACCGATCTAATTTTCTTGACTTACTAATATTAATATATTATATTACTATAGGTCTTAACTGTGCAGCAGAGATACATACTTATTACCAAACTTTAATATAAATTATTATGATTTTAGATTTTTTATCAAACATATTACTTAAAATTTAAAGATTTAAAATTCAATAATTGATTTTTTTATTCAATGTATTTATCAAGTTTATATTGATCAATACTATTACAATCAAGAACAATAGGCAATCTATAAATTTATAGGTATAGATAATATTTTAATAATTATTCATTTATTTGGTAATAACGCTCCGAAGAATATGAATAAATGAATGCTTTAACTTTTTTTTTATTATTGTACATCATGATATATGTTGCAATTACTAATAACTATATACGTAATAGTAACTATTACCTACTACATTTTTGGTAAATTGATATTTATAATATTATTTTTAAAGAAATTGTGAAAAAAAAATTGTAGCAATACATTTTTTAACATAAGTAATAATCTCGTCTAAATAAAATAAAATATGCTATACAAGATAATAATTTATCGTTAAAATATTGCTGAATATAGGTATATACTATATACCAACATTATTTATTATTACATTAACCACGTGTTATTAAATCCATTATATGCATGGTGTGTGTGACCGACCTTTTGATTCATTTATATGATATCACAATTAAAATAATTAAATATGACTATAATTGTAGGCAAGATCTATAATACTGAATACTGATATATATATACATGTCTGCAGCTATCGGATGCATACCAAATGAATGTTAATTCACAGTAATAGTAATGTTTACTATATTATTTCTCTGTATAAATAGTATTTTCATTTGTTATCAAATCATTAAAAATTTGTGATACACAGTACTTAATATAATTGTGTATAATATGTAAAAATTATTTAAATTTTTAATTGTATACAATTATACTTTATACAGTTATATTACTATAGACACTTAATATTACATAGAATATTTAAGCGTTCAGATTCGTATGTAGTATTATCTATAATTTAAATATTTATTTTTGTAATTCATTATCTCACTATATCTATAGTATAAATTTTAATAATTTTTAGAAATGGCCTAAAATGGAATTTGTATTGGGTGCTTTGGGCGCCAGTGGCGCTGTGTGTTTCACCAATCCGCTGGAAGTTATAAAAACTCGGTTTCAACTACAAGGAGAACTAAAAAAAGCAGGAAACTACAAAGTTCACTATAGGAACTTTGCTCATGCTATTTACGTCGTAGCAAAAAATGAAGGGCTGTTGGCCCTGCAAAAAGGTCTATTACCGTCTATGGGACATCAAGTGTTTCTGAACGGTACACGATTAGGCATTTTCGATCTGGCGCAGAAAAAAAAGTGGATACTTAAAAATGATGGTTCCGTTTCGCTAATTAAGTCTGCGTTCGTCGGAGGTGGAGCCGGCATGTTGGGTGGTTTTTTAGGCAGTCCACTAGGCATGGTGAGTTCAATTAATAGTTTAGTATTTATGCATCGTACATAAACACAAGCGCATCTTAGAATCATTGTTAGGGGAGAGAGATCGAATTTATAACTTTACTGTAATATCTAATATTAAAATAATTAATTTAAAAATAATAAAAAACAATATTTTAATGTTATTATATTATATATAGGCCGTAAACGACGGCAGTACTTTAGTCGCAGATCATCAATAAAAACCAAGTGGGATAGTTTTAACACCGAACAGAGTTTGCTATGTACACAGGCCACAGAGACTCATCTTAATTGTATTGATAAAAAAAAAAAAAAACTTATTATTCAATAAACGATGTATTGCGTATTAATATTTTATCAGTTTTTTTTAAGAAAAATATTCTACATCTTATTAGATTAAAAAGTCGAAAATTGAAAAATTCATAAGCAAAACATATTTTTTATTTTAGACGAGTATACGATTAAAATAGTACTTGAACAATAATAATAAAAGACTATTTTCCTCTAAGATTTGTCTGAGTGAGCCTTAGGTACTGTTAACAAATAATATTATTAAACAGCTTGTTCACATAATTTGCGGTAATGCGCTTTTATTTATCAACGAAAGTGTACAGATTTTTTTGTTTTTTAATTAATGTTGGGCACGTGTGTATTAATATTATACATTTATATGGTTCGGATCGTTTAGTTAAAAATTCACCTGCAATCGTTTTCGGCCCAATCAATCGCTGTCGGTCATCAGCACAACACCACCAGCACGATAAACGGTCTAATAACGTTGTACAATAAATACGGCATAGTCCACGGGCTGTGGCGAGGGGCAACTGGGGCTATGGTACGCATAGGTGTTGCATCGGCTACGCAACTGAGCACGATAAGTTTACTCAACGAAGCACTCATCGATCACGGGGTGTTGACCAAGGATCAGAAATTCTTGAGCACTCTCATTTGCAGTATGCTGGGTGGAGTGCTGATGTCAATAGTGATGGCACCGTTCGATCTGGTATCCACCAGACTCTACAACCAAGGTAAGTACTCGTATTTATGACGCACGTGGCCATTCTCGCTATTTACCAACTACATACATTCATATTGTTATTCACAAGTGGCGTCGAAACATATACGTAATATATAATAATATTTATTGCATATAGTACATACTTATGTATTGTGTTCACTTTGGGGCCTGGGGGGAGGGGGATTAAATGATATCAATGCCGTAGGGTAATATGGTGACTGCTAATGTATGAGTACTTAGGTAACGTAATTAACTAAATAAATGTACTATACTTTTAATTAGTGATTTGGTACATTTGATATATTTATATATTTCGAAGCCATTAAATATATACAGAGTGATTCATCAGGCATGCCCAATCCCATTTTTCTTTTGATAACGAAATTATGATTTTTGGAGTTTCTTAAGTATAGACACTTAAGGACCCTATTTTCGATTAGTTATTATACTGCTTAAGGGATGTCCTGTTGTGATACCAATTTCTTTTTTTTTAAATAAGAACTTCCCTTTTTTCACTAAATTTATACTTAAATTACTTTTTTAAAAATGCTAATGTATCTAAATTTATTCTTCAACGAGTAGTCATTGAGTTTCTTAACTTTTCTAGGTACAAAGAGTAGGGATAATAGGTTTGAAAGATTAAATAAAATGTATTTTATAATTCGTAAAATTTGTACAAATATTATAAATAATATATTCTATCATATCTGTTTAATATTTCTATAAAACCATTTTTAACTTTAAATCAACTTTAATTTTTATATTTTAATAACTATTCGTTCAAATTTTGATTTAAAGTTTAGATACATCAATATAATTAAAAAAAAAAAATCATCTGTTCAACAGTATACAATAAAGAAGATGAGTTCTCATTTGAAAAACAGAAAATTATATCATCACAATGATAAAAAATATGGAATGAAAAATCTAAATAATTTAAAATATGATCCTTAAATATAGGAACCTATTTAAAGATTCTAGAAATCTGAATTTTAGTAAATTTGAAAAAATGACGTTAAGCATGCTTGATTAATCCCTATGTATATTGAATATTTTTTCCTAAGTACATAAATTGTGCAATACCTACATTTATTACATATTTTATTATTATTTATACTCGATTTTCAATTGCAGCTGTTGATGCCAGAGGCCGCGGTCTTTTATATTCATCGTACATTGAATGTATGACCAAGACTTTTAAACAAGAAGGAATCTACGGACTTTACAAAGGCGTTGTTCCGTGCTACCTTCGACTTGGGCCTCATGTCGTTTTGAGTATGGTGTTCTGGGACAGGTTGCGAATACTCGAATCAGAATTATCCAACCGCTTTAAAAGCGTGCAAAGTCTTTAATTTTTAATTATTTTATTAAACGATTTCATATTGTGCATTTTTTACTCAACGTGTAAATTGGAAATCCCGAGGTTATAATAAATTGTTAAATAATTTATATTTATGTTCGAAAGGTAATGTTCCTGATGGTTTTGAATTTTAACCAAGTACAAAAAAAAAAAAACAAAAATGTTTACATTTAAATTTTCAAATATAACCTCTGGGTCAAATATTTTTTCACTATTTTTTACCCACGCTCAATGGTTATTTTATTTTATCAAATTAAGCGTATTAATTATGAAATGACCATAGTTGTATAATAATATCCTAAGCTTTAAATTATAACAACACTTTATTATGGTCTGAATAGTCTGATATAACTATGTACCTAAGTATTATGTGTAATTGATTAATGGTTTCGTATCTGCAACAAATTACAAAATATGTACCTATAATAACATATTAGAACTTGTAATTTGGTACCTACACAATATAAAATAGCTATTAGTTACAGAGTATTAACTATTAAACTTAAAAGTTGATATTAAGTATAGTACCTATATCATAATATTATATGCCTAATATAAATACCTAGGTATTGGCTGTAATCTTTATTGTCTATTATATTTTTATAATCTATAGTCACTGCTCATCAAATATTTGCATCATTTCTTGAGTTATCGCATTAATAAAAATATACCAAAGTACGTTATAATTTGACCGTTTATTTTTTTATTATAGTGGGTGTACCTCAATAATTTTTTTAATAGATAGGCACAGCTCATAGTAAATTTATAATTAGTAATATACCTACATTTATGTTACATTTAAGGTTAGGTAAATTAAATCTCGAATACGCGTCCGGCATATGTCTACGTGAATAATATTGTACAATAATAATTATTAGTATTTAATATATACTTACCAATACGGTTTTATCTGTTGTTATTAAATTTTTAAAAACTATGAAAAATAAAAATAAATGATTGTTAATAATTTTATTAAAGTTGTTTTATAATAGTTCATGACGTATAAAACTATTATTATTATTATTATTATTATTATTTAACCATTTTTAATACTTAATTGTTCTTTGTATTGAAATTATTTTTTTTTTCAAATATTTATGTATAATACCCATACATAATATGCATCTTTTGTACTTACCATTTTGTTATTATTCCTACATGAGTGTTATATAAATAACGTGTTTTTTAAACCTATGTTTAAACACACTCTTATCAGTTTTACGTATGATATAATTATAATTTAATAGGTTTATAATAAGGTATCCATAGTTAACAATGTTATTAATGGAAACTATGTACCTAATATAGCGTAATGAAACGAGGTGCTTATTGTAAACGGTGTGTAGTTTTTTCGACTACCGTAAGAAATCAGCTAAAAAGAAAAAGGTAAATCGAATTAATAATTTTTTTAGTTATTTAATAAGATATATGTTTTTAGTTTTTAGGTAAATTAGTTAAAGAACCTTTAGTCGAGTATAAGAATATAATTGTTGATTTACAAAATCACGAGAAAAAGCGATTTTCTTGTTTCATTAGAAGTAGCAGATTTTATTTTTTCTTATACATTAAATTTAAGTCAAATTCTTCAAAGTAAATAACAGACTTATCAAAAGCATTAAATTATGTTATAACTGAGAATATTTAGAATCTATCCATAAATATATTGATAGTCATATCAAAATTATGTTTAGTGAAGTACTTAGAATTGCTTCTAATATAGATGTCGATGTTAAAATACCTCGAATTTGTGGCAAACAAAATCAAAGAGCTAATGTGAATGTTACAAATCCGGATGATTGTTACAAAATAACTATATTGAATGGTATATAGAACTATACTTGAAGGGTGAATCCCATCACATTTCAATAAATATGATACTAAAAATATTTTAGAGGTTGCAAAAATGTACGAAAATGATCTTCCCTTAAATGCAATTGTTACATTAAAGGCTGAATTAAGTATATGGCAATATCAATAGAAAGACGATGGACAAAATAGTACATTGAATAAACCTCAAACCGCTATTGAGACTTTACCATATTGTACTAATATTGTGCCTAATATTAAATTGCTTTTACAAATATTCACAACTCTTCCTGTTACAACAGCTACGCTAGAACGTACTTTCTCTACCTTAAAACGACTGAAAACTTACTTATGATCAACAATGACTGAAAATAGACTAAATGGATTAGGTTTAGTGAACATAAATAAAAAAGAGGTCATTTCAGAAACTGAAATTATTGAGCATTTTGCAGAAAAAGCACCAAGAAAATTGCAATTTGTAGATTGGTCAAAATAATTTTATACAATTATTACTATTGTTTTTATACTCTTATAATTTTTTTGGGATTAACCCGTTTTTATTATTAAATTACTATTACTATTTATTATTATATATCTATATATATATATATATATTAACTTAATGACTGACTGAAAATATAAACAAATTATTTGCACTATAAACATTAAATATTTGGTTTATTTTATTTTTTTGTTTTAGACACTGTGTGCCCCCTCCTCCTAAAAAAAATCCTGGATACGCCACTGGATCTATCCAATGTATATTAAAGTAATAAAACAGAAGTAAGCAAGTGGCTAAACCATATATAATTGGGTTGCCATATTTTATTCCTCCAAACCAGGTCAGTTGCTGCTTTATTAAAGATTTTATGACACCGATTCCTAAAATGACATACGATTTCAAAAATATGTAGTTTATTTAGTTAACACATATATCAGTGAAGAGGCTAAATTTCCACCAATAATTTGGCTGCGAACATTACGTCACTAGCTTTCACTACTTGCGAATCATATCATGCACGTTTCAATTCCAAGTTCTATCACCCACATCCTACTATTAACCACTTTTTGGACATACTGAAAAGATTTCAAACAAAAACTTTGATTACAATTAAAAGTGAACATCTTAAAAAACGAAATTCTACTATAAGAAATAACCTGTTGAAAACTTTTCAACAAATATATGAAGACTTTTGTTAATTTTGATAATTTGCATTAGATTAGGACGTAATCGGAGATCGATTGCTTCTTACAGAGACGATATGTCATTATTATCAATAGAGTACAACAATATTTAATGGACACGCGTCACTACGTTTTATTGTATAACCTATGCAATATCAGTAAATTTATCTACTGGTAAATTCGAACTGCAATTGAATTTGAAAGTGTGGCCAAATTACATATTACATTTTATTTTCTGTCGTGACACAAAATACCAAAATTAATTTGTTTATGTGGCTCAAAAGTCAAAATACTGTTATATTTTTATATTTTTAACGCAAATTACATACGTACATAAATGTACCTATTCGTGGAGCAAATTACAAGCAATACAATTTGTGCAAATTACCATTTTCTCCGGTAAGATACGATCAGCGGTGTACTATTGCATGCAGCGTCAGAATAATAAAGGAAATGATATATCTAGTTACTGGATTTTCTGTACCATGATTGAGTTAAGTGAAATCTACAACCGAATAGTTTAGTATCATCTCAGACTTGCCTCAATGCTATATGAATTGCTTCTTCGAAATCAGTTATAATTAAATTTGGTTTTTGAAAATGTCCACATACATTACACAAATGTATGATATGTATAAATAAATTTACGTGAGTTGAAATTTTTTTTGCCTGGATTTAATGAAAATAAAAGTAGTATAATATAACGATCATTGCATAAACCACGCAAAGAAAACAATTGCATAAATAACTTGGGTCAATATTCAAAAAATCCATAAATGTATATAATTTCACATTGGCAAAGAACTTTTAAGTTTGTACTTCATGAAAATATTATTATATGATAGTTCGGATCATTGATTAATAGAAATTGCTCATTAAGATCCGATGTCAAATCTAAATTGATTATACTCTTTCACATTTCTTCCATTGTTTTTGGAAATGGTGACAAAATTTTTCTACGGGCGTTATAATTATTTCGTCTAACTAATGATGTATCATCGGTAGTAATGGTATCTAAATTAGATATACTTATTCGTTTACACTTTATTTTATTATATTAAACACGATTTTGGTGATACATTTAATTTACCATCCGATTATTACAATAAAATGGTTTTCAACAAAATATTACTTAGTATTTTAATGTGTGCTGTTGCCTGTTCACCTGTAATCGTTATTTAAACAACTGGCACGCGCTATTATTTAAGTAGTAACCTAAGTCATATAACACTCCAAACAAGTTAAATAATAAGAACATGTAAAATTTGCGCCAAAAGCAAACAAAAAAAAAAATAAAAAAATAATGATAAAATATGTCATTTGAGCCACATCTAAAAATTTATTTTGATGATTTGCACTAAATAAAACTAAATAAAAAGGGTTTATGTAATCTGTACATCGTGTACCTAATAATATTTTTATCAAGCCTTTTCTGTCAATTTTATTTTTTCTGTAATCTTCATATATTTGTTGAAAAGTTTTCATGTATCACCGGTAGTAATGGTATCTAAATTAGATATACTTTCGGAAATTTTTGTTCGTATTATCTTACTTGGTTTAGTATCAGACATTCCAAAGTTTTCTCTTACATCCATTGGAATAAATTTTTTCTATACTTGGTTGATCATTCCCGCCATGTTCATTTACAACTTCAACTATTTTTACAATATTTTATAATGAAGTATACACATTTACAGTGCAACGGCATTGTATTGAACAAATTTTTGATTCTTGAACTTTTCGATACATACAATTTGCATATTATAACAAATCTGAGTTACTGATATTTTTAATAATTTCACCAATATTTGTATCCATTACTTATACTTTTATATAATTCTGAAATGTAAAAATAGCATGAACGCACATGTGATTTATATCGGACTAATTGTTAATATCACGATTCGCACTACATTGCTGTTTAATTTTTGTTCGATGTCTAACTTAACAGCAAATTGATAATTTTCTTTAGATTAAACGTAATCGGAGATCGATTGCTTCTAATAGAGACGACATGTCTTTATTATCTGTAGAACACAACAGTATTTAATGGACACGCGTCCGTACGTATAATTTTATATCCTATGCAATATCAATAAATCTATCTTCTGGTAAATTTTAACTGCAATTGAATTTGAAAGTGTAGCACAAATAACATATTCCATTTTACTTTCTGTCATGACGATAAATACCAAAATTAATTTGTTAATGTAGCTCAAAAGCCAAAATAATGTTATATTTTTTATATTTTGGTTCAAATTATAAGTAATACAATTTGTGCAAATTACCATTTTCTCCGGTAAGATACGATCAGCGGTGTACTATTGCATGCAGCGTCAGAATAATAAAGGAAATGATATAAACCATTCAAAGGCATACGATTGTACGTGAAATTGGATGCAAAGTTGTCTTATTTTTTATTAAACATAACCAAGTTATATCATAATTTTTTTTAATATCTAAATACAGATACAAGCACTATAATATAATAATAATATAATTTAAAATAATAAACATAAGATTTAGTAGGTACTGTAACACAGTTGAAACACCAACACAACTGACAGTAAATACTAAATGGATATAGTCATAAGTCACATCATGCATGATTATAGTATCAATAGGTATACTCGTACATATACAGTAATTTATTTATGGGTCATTATTTAACACTTACTCAACTTAATGATAATATAATAATATTAATGTGTTATTTAATGAGTAATGGATATATCACATAATCAAATGCAGTAAAATTTGAATAAGTCAATACACTATTTTTAATTTTAGCTATATCTATGATATAATGTTTATATGGATACAAATTACATATATAAATATATTATGTGTTACAGAAAACAACATTTCAAAAATTATCAACAAAACATATAACATTAATCTTCATTTTTCAGCAAATTTAAATTTTTCATGTTCATTTATTTTCAATTATAGGTAGTTTTAAATAATCAGCTCCAAGGGCCCAACTTATATCAGAAATGATATTATAATTCTTGACCTAAAGTATGTAAGCATTTTATGAATTTCAATTTTAAAATCATATAAACTTATCGAAGTTATATACAAACAGTGATTGAAGGATTGCCACCAACATTAATTAGATGATTCAATAATGCATAAATATAGACCAAATCGAAACATCTGAATGGTTTACTGACTTCAAATGTTTGGCTAAAACATTCTTTAAAAAATGTATTTCTTATATTAATTATAGATGCATTAGGAATATCTGTAAATACATTTAGCTAATAATTTTAGTTATAAATAATAACAACTTACGTATAGCGGCATTTTTAAATTTTTCAATTGTTATGCATTCCTCAGTATTACCTTAGTAATTATATTATGTGAATTAAATTAAGAATAATAACATAATAATATCAATACGATATATGGTAATATTATGTTTGAATTTACATACTAATTAATTTAGCTTCTAATGCAGTTTCGTGAAAAAAAGAAATCGCCATGATAGGTTGTTTAATAGTTACTTTATTCACATTTTCTGCGATTAAAGATTGAACTGCACTCAAACATAGTTTGTAAATATCATCTTTAGGACTTGACCCACTGAAATGATAACATAACAATTATTTACATTGAAAATAAAAAATAACCTTAAAACATAAATGCATATAACCTATTTATATTTTATGTAAATACATTTAATGAATTTAGTTATAACAAACTTTACCCAAAAAAATAAAAAAAACTTACGTGATTTCGTAATTATTAAAAATATATGTATATAAAAAATTATCAGTTATGCCATGGCATGGAGAAGAATAGATGGATTTATTGTTATTCGATGTCAAAATTTTTATTCGCATTTCCATCAAACCAAAATCTAAATGGCTAAAAAATGTATTATGAATTTTATTTAATATAATTTAAATAGAAGAACTCCATTTACATTACCTTTGATTATAAAAATGTCTCTCTATTCCCATGATTGTATATTTTTTTACAAATTGTGACTCATAGTTTTGTAGGTTTTTAGGTGGTAAATAAAAAATGATTTGTAAAGATGAATCACGTAGATCTAAAACAGCTATTGTTTTATCTAAGTCCTTTATGGTTTCTAAAAATAAATACATTTTCATAATTTATTTATGAATTAAGTATTGTTTAATTATAGTATTTTTTTATATTTTTATATTTTACTGTTCATTAAATTAACTGTTAACCAAGCATAAAATCCTTCATTATTTTCATTCATTATAAGCACTGCATTTTCATTTATTTGATATACATTTCTATATTGACTCAAAATGTTGGTTACCTAAGATTAAATTATAATTGAGAATTTTGAGGGTTTTGAGAAAATTTAAAAATAAATAAAAATACTTGATTGACTATTGTTTCGGATTCTTTATTAAACAGTCTTAAACCAGCGGTTAATGCGAATACAATTGGTGCGTGTACAATATAATAATTTAATTTCAAAAATCGTTGAGCATCGTCTAATACTTTATATACTGAATTAATCAACTGTAACAAACAGAATATAGTTAAAAAACAAATGTCTAACGTTAATTTAACTTAATTAATTAAGTCTCCGTTCATTCAAATAATAACATAATATTTTTCTTACTGTTTGTTCGTTATGATACAATGCGACTAAAGAATAATCTGCTATTAGACCAGTAAAGTCTAAAAGTTCATAAATACCTTTAAATTTAAATAAAAATAGCAATAATTATTGTTATAAGCTTGTATATTAATTCTATATAAGTTATTATCTGATATACGTGCTAAGCAATACAATACATGTCATGTCTGTATAAACAATAATGTTTTATATTTTTTAGTAAAAAATATTAAGTTAAACCAATACATAACCAATAACTTATGTATTAAATATTTTAAATATTTATATATTTATTTATTATAGCTAAATTACCACCATAATACAGTTTTTTCTACAATACAACTGATTAAGTGGCTTACATATTTAATTTGTTAAAAACTGGCGCAAAACTAGTGTAACATTTATGGAGTGATAGACTATTGAATTAACAAATTAAAAAAACAATTATATTTTTTAATTTTTGTATGCTACATTTCTATTAATTTTAACTACATGTAATCTGTACATAACGAAAGGTATTTAAACATAATATTCTTTTTCCTTGAGCCAAAAAATAAAAAAAATACACATACTAGCAATCTTAAAGCAATAACATAGAAATGTTTAAATAATAAGCTGCACACACCTTATAAGCCTCAAGAGAACTATTAAACTATAAACTACAATTTCACAACGTTTTAATAACATAATTATAATCGAATTATTAACGTTATAATATAAGCTTGATGTTAAGATTTATGGGGATATCCGCTATGCAGTTTTCAAATGTTTTCAATTGTCAAGTGAAAGAACAATCAATGCTAAACATCAAATTTATCATATCCAATGACTAATTGTGCATGTTAATAACAATGCCAGTCTCAGAGCGTATAGAATATAATCGATAGAAAACTTTTAAGAATAATATTTTATAATCATAACGAAATAACTAAAATAAAATGATGATAAATCCTTAAAAATTTTTTATAATCTTTATATGTACAAATATATATGCATATATTTTTAGTTATATTCTGTATGCTGATATACCCATCTATTTTCCTAAGAATCAATTTTTGAATACAATGCTCATAATTATTTAAATTTAACACTTCCAGTATGTACATTAAACCTACTTTCTTCACTTGAATTTCTCCAGCAAGAAAACCAACTACGTTTCTTACTCGTAGAACTTTTAACAAAAACTGAAACAAATACTTTAGTTCTAATACTATCTGCCTCAACAGTAACATTATAATATTTTTTTTGACTTTCCGAATCTTTTTTTACTTCAGTTTCTTCACATAATATAATTGATTGAGCTGAAATGATTAAAAAATAACTTTAAATCAGTATAAATCATAAAAAAGTAAAGTTGATTAATCTTATACTAACAGTAGATTACCACAAAATATACCAGAGTAACGATAATCTTCATAAAATATTTTTTTTGATTTATATCAGATTTAATAGTATAATTATAACTATTATACCCTGAAATAATCTGTAAACAAATAATTACAAGTAATACAAGAAATTTTAATTTTATAAAATAACAACTAAAACTAAATTTAAGATATTGTACTAAAATACCAAACATTTTTTTCTTAATCACTTATGACACATCTGATTTCAAATCTGAAGACTCAAAAGCGATATGATCACTAGTAGGGTGTAAAGCCGCTCTCCGGGGATGCACTCACGCATTTGAACAAACCTTTTATTCATTTGGTGAAATATTTTTAAGACAATAGATTAGATTTGCATAAATTATTATAATTTATAACACTGAGTTAACGAGTTATGTATTTGTTAATGTATTTATAAGCGCAGTTAACATGGATAATATTATAAGATATACGGCGCACCAGCCAATGATTTTTATAAGCGATTCAATTGTCAACAAGTGAATCATTACAAAAATGTTATCGTTTTAGATTTACAACGTTATGCTGATCAAAATTGGCAGGTTAAATGTTATGATTTGTAATTTATAGCCTACAGTATACGTCGGATTTGTAAGGATGATCCAAGGATTAATGAGAAACAAAACAATTCTATAGATAACATATATATGGTTTATAAAATTAATCATAATTTTATTATCCACTTCAATAATGATAAAAAGTGTGGGTATGTTAAATAGTAAAAGTGCGTTGCAAGAGTTAGCTGTTTTTCCTATTTTGAGAATTCAATTAATTAACTTAAGGTAAAATCGCCTAATAAAATTTGCAATTATAAATTTTCCAAATTGAATTTTAGTAAGTCTATAAAACCAGTTTATCTGTAATGCGATGAGGTGAATGCGAAAGGTCGTTCTTTACATACCTTTTTTGTGCGAATAGTCATGTTTCTCAAGCGGCTTGTCCACTAATTAAAATTTCAATAACAATACGATATTGGTACACCAAAAACTTGATAGAAATGTGTCGTTATTGCAATGTAACAAATAAATAATTCCATAAATTATGATTAAATTTTTTATTCTTTAGTAGAAAAAAACAACTGCAATACACCTGTAATACCTTAGATATAACGTCATGAAATAACTTGTGTCTAGTCCTTTGGTGTTTTTGCATTCATTCCTATTAAGATAAACCAATATTTATATAATTTTAAAATGAATGTGTTAGCATTGTTGTTTTAAGTAATAATCATATTATGCTGTTTAAACTTTAAAAAAAATATGGCTTTGAGGAAAATTAAAATATTTATTATGCTCTACAATTAATCGAAAAATATTTGTACCTTACTTGCTAAAACTAAGTCACACTTTTCACATGTTCGTATGATACTTATTCGTTTACGGTTTATTTTATTAGATTCAACATGATATTGGTGATACATTTAATTTACCATCCGATTACTACGATAAAATGGTTTTCAACAAAATATCACTCAGTATTTTAATGTGTGCTTTTGCCTGTTCACCTATAATATTTATTTAAACAATTGGCACACGCTATTATTTAAGTAGTAACTAATATATAGAAATAATACCTTGGACTCTTTAGATATGAAGTCATATATTACTCCAAGTCAAACTGTAAATGCTTGTGTAATTTGCGCCAAAAACAACCAACCAATAAAAAAAAAATTATAAAATGTGTCATTTGCACTACATCTTAAAATGTATTTTGATGATTAGCACCACTTTTTAAGTTTGTAATTTGCTCCAAATAAAATTAAATAAAAAGGATTTATACAATCTGTACATCGTATACCTAATAAAATTGTAATTAGCCCTACAATTGTTATAATTATATATAAATGTATGTATTTTACGAGTTTGTCTTAGTGTAAATTATTTAATAATTCAGTAAGCACTTAATTTTTTTTTTTATATTCAAAACTATAAATTAAATAACAACAAGTATGTTTGAATAGAGAACTATGTTATGTTATATTCTATTTTCAATACGAAGAAAAAAAAGTTGCACATTTTAATGACACAATAATTCTTACTATTTTATTTGATTCATGTTTAGTCCTCAATGATTGGTAATGTAGACGTAGTGACTACAGATAATTTAAAAAATTGTCAAGAAGATGTTAGTATATTATGATTACAATATGTCAATATACATTTTATTGTATAGAAAACAAAAAATATATATTTGTGTTAATATTTTAGAATAAAGAATTGCATGGTTCTGCCTCAACTACAACTCATGTTTTGCACGATATTGCTTCTTTTGGAGTTAGTAGATCTTTAAATATCTCTGAAATAACTGCTTGCTTGAAAAATGCATATATACCGTCACCTTCTTACGATTTTCCAATAAGTATTGAAGGTAAACGGAAACCAAAATTTCAGTATAATATTTACTATCATTTCCATGGCTTGCTTATAGCTGTACCTAGCACATATATATGTGTAGATTTGATAAATGCTATTAACATTACATCATTACTATTGAGTGTGGTTAACATGTATTTATATGATAATTATTATGAATGTAATAATTTAATCTCCCGTAGAAACCTTTTAAACATTTGATATTCAATTTAAAATAAATCGCATGCCTACAATCGTTATAACCTACATGATAGTATTCATTGATTATTCTGTAGGAGATTTCTATCAAAATTTCTATATTAAAGTACCTAGGTACCTAATAAATACTTTTATAGTTCGACCTATACCTATTTTAAAACAAATAGAAAATCAAACACGATTGAACGTGTTCAGATCGTTGCTTAAACAGTCATACATATTATATAACCACTGTGGAACCCATACACACACTCTTTAATCCTTAATCCTGTCTTGCAGTGTCTCACAACGACTGGAAAAAGACATATACCCGTTAAGTACCATTATAGCGGTGGTGTTTTTTAATAATAACAACTTTATGGTCCAGCACATTTGTTTCATCGGTCTCTGACTTATATTAATTACTTTTTTTAATTAAATACATTAACCTCAGCCCGCTGGTTAGGGGTTACCTACTTAACTACACAAATACAATACTATTTGGCACCTGCATTGTGTATTGTTAAATAATTATAAATGGCTGTCTGAAAGTTTTATACTCGCAAGCAAGTTAAAAAGTTCAACATGACAACGATAGATGTCGCTATAGTTATCGTTAATCGAATGCGTCGATCGAATACTTAAATTATTGGTAACAACCTCCCCACTATAACCTTCGTGGATACTACGAAGTTACGTAATTTATTCATTCTTTTAATGACAATTGCAATAGTCAGTGACAACTTCAAGGTGGTCCAAGTCTGAGTGAGAATGAGGTGACTCTCATCCAGGTATAAGTCCGCGAATGTAATATAATTTATTATTTTTAACTATTGGAGAAATGCCTACCTAGATTTCAAAATAAAATTACAATTGATTATTCAAATTAATGACATTTTGTGGCAACATTGTATAATATATTATTATTATAATAATACACCTACATATAAATATTGTTGATATTAAACCATTGCATCAGTATTTTTTTTTTCAAAAATATGTAAACGATTTTAATTTCAGTTTTATTAGTTCAATATAATTTTCGTTCAAACGTATATTGAATGACAATAAATTATTGATTTTTATGCATTATTTATAGATTGATAATTCAAAATTTTTTAAAATCAACTTAAATCATAATTATACAGCTATTTATTCAAACTAATCTAGAATATTAATTTTTGTATATTATATTATATTTTATTTATATAAAATTCTGCATATTGATATTCTAAAATTATTTCTATGATTCTAGGTACTAAGAATATTCTTGACCAAATGAATAGATTAATCAGATATCGTCTATAGACATTATTTATAGGTATACGGACTTTTAAAACTTTATTTTTTGCAATATAATAAAAAAATTTATGACTTAATGTAAATTTAATACTTGACTATAACTAAATGATAATTTTTTTTTTTTTTTTTGGGGGGGGGGGGCTAACGTCTTCAGCTGTTACGTTTTCCTCGCCATGTACACCGCTGAGTTTCAAGAGTTCCTGGGTCGTCTCGAATCTTCCGTGAAGAGTCACTGCAACGTTGGAGTCGACGTCATCGTTGGGGGACCGCCTCACAGAAGGCCGCGGTCACGACCTTACTGCGTTCGCCGACTCGTTGGGTCTGGTCGTCCTGAACTCGGGGTGAGAGTCGAAATTCTTCGGGAGGGTGATGGGTCGTGCATCGATGTGACCTTTGCCCCCGTATAGGTTAGGTATATAAAGAACATGAGTATCCATCATCACTTGTGTTTCTCGTATAGCACTAGACGCACGCTCTCGGACACGCCCGGTAATCTCTCGGCGGCGTTGAAAGTTGTTCGGTGACATCCGGGTTGGCGCACTTCCTGGATGCTGGATGAACGCAAACTTCCTCGCCACCTAACCTAATCTCACCGTGGAATGGGCGGGAATGACTCAGCCTTCGAGGCTCCAGCTGGCAGCTGGTTCCGAAAACGCCGAAGCCTTAGCCGAGAGGTTAGTCGGCAGCGTGACGACGGCCTGCGACATGGCTCACCCCCGAAGGAACCCACATTCTCAGGGGGACCACCAGTTAACTGGTGGAACAGCAGTGTTGCGATCGCGCTTGCCGAATGCGTGCGACGGAAACGGCTGTGGATCAGGCGTTTCGGACGCGTTCACGGCGGTGACAAGTCCGCGGCCGACGCTGAGCGAGCCTACCTGGAGGCTCAAAAAGAGTTGAAGCACCGCATTCACAATGTGAAAGCGAAGTGCTAGGCAGAGTTGGTGAAGACCGTTGATGACGAACCCTGGGAGAAACCCTTCTGCAAGGTCGTCATAAAGAAGCTCCGTGGATCCATGGCGATAGAACCGCAGATGGTACGCGACATCGCCGCTGTCCTCTTCGCCCAAGAGGACAGAGACGGGGAGCCTGCTGACCTTGCAGGAGTCCAGTTTGAAAACGTGACAGAGTTCTCTCTGGAGAAGATGACCACCGCAGTCAGCCGCTTTAGGAGCCGCTGCAGCGCGTTGGACCCAAGTGGTATTCCAAGCTTAGGGCATCATGCATGCAATGCGTCCTGGGCATCTGGTTGAGGTGTTTAACCCCTGCCAGGAGGGCGTCTTCCCTGGCCGGTGGAAGCGCGCTCGGTTAGCGCTTCTCGCCAAACCAGGAAGGTCGGAGGGGGTGCGGTCTTCTTACGGTCTGCTGTGTCTCCTCGACGACGTCGGCAAGATCTTTGAGTTCTTGTACGTAGTCCAGATGAACAGCCACATGATCGCCACTGGAGTCAAACTGTCCGAAAGGCAATTAGTTAGGCTTCCGGAGCGGCCGGTGCATGGACTACACGTTGCGGCTGCTTTACGAGTAGCAAGGAAATTGACGACGATCACCACGAACGAGAGCGTCTCGTCGACGCGATCAGATCTTTCTACCAGGGCGCGTATTTCCCGATTCTAATACGTTTCAGCGCGGGGTGGAGCCAAAACCTTTCTGCATGATGTCAGGTGTATACATATTTTTACCGATTCTAATCTAATTCAGCGTGACAGTGGACTGGTTTTCAAAATGTTGGAGAGTCCGGCTAACTGGGAGACACGAGGGCTGTGATGTCAGCCAATGAGGCGTCTGAGCGCGACAGGCAGTTTCGACAGGGTGTCGCTCCGTTTAGGCTTCTGAGATCCGTGATGACGATACGTAAGCGGGCGGTCGCGTCGGTTGCGATGGCCTCAGCTGTTGGCTGAGAGGATAGGCTAGAGTAGAGATAAGTTTTTATTGTCCCTTCCGCGCCTACTCTGAAGGGCTATTATTTGTATATTTAAAATGTATTGTTGTTGATTTTTTCAATAAATGATAACGATTCACTTGGACTTACGAGAATGGGACGTTTCGGCAATACATTAAGGTACTTTTCAGCGCGTAATCAATTCGGCTATATACTCGTAGCATTGAACTTATATTTATAATATACAGCTTTGTCTCACTGTGCAAAGAGTGGCATAGAAATATTATCTATAATATATTTTATTTTACTATAAATTATTGTTATTACTACTACACAATAAAATGGTTATGATAGTCGAAAATTTATGGTTGATCTGACTGTAGACCAGTTAGATAATTTTATAATTTTTAGCTTATTACTGGGGTCGAAAATTTTTTATATTATTATTATTATTATTATTATTTACAAGCGACTTGTTTATGCTATTAAAAGAACTTCTTGATAATCACATCACATTTATATATATATACCTAATGGCTAATATCGATTGATAGTTAAAATATATTATACTTTTATTATTATTATTTATAAACCGGTGTTTGGTATTATTTATATTATAATTTATAGGTCACCCTATTTATTGACTCTTTTGTGAATATATAATCTTTGTATTTTTCTAACCCATTATACGGTGCGAGTTGTCAAACCAACTGCTATAGCTAAGACATCGATAGCGTATACATTAACTATAAGTCTATATAAATAATAATAATTATTTTGGTTTATTTATTTATGAATTAAAATGAATATGATATTTATTTCATTATAAAATACAATTTTACATTATATTACAATTTTTTTTACTATTAATTTTCGCCGAATCGCCCATGCCGAAACGTCCTACAGATCCTGGATTTACGCATGTTAGACAACCCACCCCGTGTGTGAAGAAAAAATTGTCTCTTAGTTACCTACACAAATATATAAATCAAATAAATACTATTCCATTTTATGGCAGTTATTATTTTTTTTAATTTATAGTCATTATTTGCATATAATCTATATTCTGTAAGTTTTGATTATTATTTATTAATAAAAAATCTGCACCTCAAGTAATATGTTGTATGAACTTCATCTCGGGTTGTAAATAAAAGAAATGTTTACTTTCTTAATACCCATGACAATAAATAATAACGTAATATAATAATAATACTATAATATCTTATAACATAACATCTGCTTGCATATTGAAAATCATCAGAAATTATTAATCAAATATATTTTTATTCTAGTAATATAATTTAGATGACCACTTGGCACTTACCCTAGGCATATATTAGAAATTATAATATTTATATTGTACGTTGTTAATTACTTTATTTTTGTTTTTATTATTTATAATAATTATAATTATAATATTACTATATACAGTTATTACGAAATTGCTATTATTCATAATTTGTAAAAAAACTGATTAATTCAAAGCCCTGTAGGTTGTTTTACATTCCTTTCTTCTTCAACACATTTCTAAAAAACCGCATCGTGCATGTATATTCAATATGTTGGTAAATATATATGAACAAATGTAATATAATGGATTTTGTATATCCTTCACATATTAAATCCATGGTCAAATCGTAACTGATTATTGACGTCATTTCAATTCAACCTACTGTAATACACCCGAAGTATTAATTAAAAACAAGAAATATATATTCTAAAAAATAAAAAGGTTATCTATTGTTTTAAAATTAAAAAAAAAATCAGTAGAACTATAAAACCAACTATAAAATTAAGTATCATGAAATAACTGTCTATATAGTATATATCATTTCATATATTCAATACTTATTTAATATATATATTTTTTTTTTTTTAGAGTGATCTTAGCACACTAATATAACATTATTTATTATAGATAAATGATGCAAAATTAATATAGTGACGGGCAACAATATAATTTCAAATATCGATATTGAACAAAATTTACCGATATCGTATCGCAATATCGTAGTTCCTGTGATATCGAGATCGTATACTCGTATCAAAAATATATAATATTAACTTTTAATAATAAAAAAAAAATGAATAAATTAAATATAATATAGTATAAGTATAGGTGACCCTTTTCATGGCTCTTCAAACGTGTAAGTTAAATTTAAAAACCAATATTTTAGAAAACAAAAATAATAACAAATTGTTACTAACAATAATTTATCATAAAACATGCATAAGTTAACACGTGCGGTGCAAGTCCACGGGTAGTCTAATATGCCCGCATTAGTATAAATTAAATAATAATGCCAAGCGAATATTTTACGATTTGTGTTCAATTTCAGTTTTCATACAACGTAATCAAATTTCAAAAAATTAAAAATACATAAAAGCAATAATATAAATTTAATTAATACGATATCGTGATATATTAAATAATTATAAATCGATATATCAATATCGTTACCCATTGCTAAAACGACAGTCTATATACATATTACACATTGATCTATTTAACCAATTGGCTATTACAGTATTACCTACTACCTAGTATCATTGTCCATTGATAATAAATACTAGTGTTTAAACTTAATAATAATAAGTGTTTTGCTGATTTTCTTAAATGTATAATATGAGGTTTTATGAATATAAAAATAAATATATAATAATATGCAGAAGAATAACAATATTATAAAAGTACTTAAATTTATTTCAATTTCAAATTTCTTTATAAATTAAAAATTATTTTGATTTCATGACTGTAAAAAATAAAACGATAATTTTAATATAAACTTGGAATAATAAAATGGACAACTGATTTCAAATATGGCGCTATATAAATACATATAAACTAATAATCTATTCTGATTTAAAATCCAATATGCCCCAAAAAAAGGATAAGATACTTTAAAAATATTTTATTTTCTTATACTACTTTTTTAAGCTATTCTTAAAGTTTATAGTTTTATACTTGTAGATTATTTGGTGTATTTATAATATTCAGATTGATGATCAGTTCATAGACAACTGGTGTTTTTATATTTTTTTTTTTTTTTTAATTAAATATAATTGCCATAAAACACATATTTATAAACAATATGGATACTTACAAGTTACATTCGACTCGCAGTTTTTTACGATGCGTCATATATAATAATATGATGTATTGATGTGACACATCAAAAAAATCTTATTTTGATTGCGATTCACTATTGAGTCATAGTTTTTGTAAAATATAATTTATGTGTACAACATATAGATCACATATTATTAACGTATACATTTTTGGTGGATACTTTTTAATTTTTATATACGTTAGGTTACGTATTGAAGGAATATTATAATCTCCTGCTTATAATTGACTAGTTGTTCCCATGCACTTCGTTACCCGTTAAAATTGACACCTCTTGTGTGATTTAAACTTTGTTTAATTCGTTATTTAATATTTAATGTAAATAACGTAATGATGTTCAAAACATAATAAGTTATAATTTGTGTTTAAATAATGAAACACGTAATATTTAGTAATGCAGAAATCAAAATGAAATTATTGATAATTAGGGCTCGGAAATTTATGACCTTAAAAAACATTAAAAATAACCTAAAATGATAACTGATCCACTAAAGAGATTTAGCGAAATAGAATTTATTTGTTGGCTTTCCATTTCATAAATCGAACAAAACAGTTGATTGGAAAATATTACTTTGTTTAATAAAGAAAACATAGTAGCTTCAGTGTGTCTAAAATTGCTTGAAAATGGAATTAAAGTATATAGAACATGGGTATACGAATATAACACATAGATAATTAGTGGATAAGAAAATTAAAAATACGATCTAATTTTTGCACAAATAAAAAAAAAACAGGTCTTTTGGCTTGTTACCTACTTTTGTTTCGCCAATAATACATATCTCTAACACTACCAGCTTTGACTGAGTTCATACTTTTAAAATATTATCATTCACACTTCGCGATAAATATGGGTAAATAACTAAATCAAGTACTTAGGTAACGAAAATAATATACTATGACATGAGTACGTGTTGTGCATTATTCAAAGCGACAATAATAAATTAATTAACCAATAACTTTAACAAGAATGTTCGTAAATTACAAATTAAATCTGTTAATACCATTGTCCATTAGTACCTACTATACCTATTCATAAATATATAAATGTCATAGAGAAGATATCAAATATAATTGCGATACTTAATAGCTCGTAAAATATATAGTTAAAGGAAATTATGTTAGCATTGCAACCTTGTCAAATAAATATTTCGGAGTTCACTTATCTTTTAATTTAATTTTTTTGAAATTATTACTTACTAACGAAGTTTATTGTAGTAATTATGTTATAGGTACATTAAATATATTATTTTATATATATAATACATAATTTTGTATATATGTAAAATTAAATAAACAAAATTTAAAAAAAAAGTCGTTGACATCGACCTCTGTGTACTGATCGTTTGATCTTTATTTTATATTTAGGTATACCTAACGAGAATTGTGTGACAAAGCGAGGGAAGTACAATTCCTATGAATACGCCATTTAACAGGACACGGTCGATTCACATCAACTTAATAATAAAACTTGAAGCGGTCCATTGGCCAATCAAGATTCTCGGCGAGAAATATGATTTCGTTACTACATTATGACTCATGATAATGCACCAGACACTCGGCTGAAAATATATTGTAGATTCCAAGGTATACATTCTCTAAAAACGTTTTATATTTTAGTAACAACCAACATTCCATTCGATAACACAGAAACGTATATCACTAAGTATCGATATTTATTGTATATATAGATAAATGAGTTAAAAACAGATTGAGAATTTATTCTCCATACTTAATGAAAACTTTTATAATGAAGATCGTATAATATTACAAAACAGCGTTGTTCGGGTGCGCCCCGTTAACTATATCTTATATTTTTATTAGCCCAATTGTGTTCGCGATAATATCGCTAATGATTTCGGTATATCCCAAATGCGTCCTAATTTTATCGCTGATAATATACTATAATGAAACTTAAAACTATATTGATCCACAACTAGACTTACCTACCTCTTTAATTACACATGGGCATATATGAGCAGTAGTAGTGAACAAACAACAAATACGTACCTATGAAAGCTTCCACTTAGAATTTAATTTGTATTTTTATACACCTCCTCTGGGCATATATTCTTTCTTAGAAACATCAAAAAGAAATTTAATTCAAACTTAATCATACATACATCTAAAAAAGTTAGATCGGTCAATAAAAAAAATTATTTAATTCATGGAAGATAAAATCAAAAAAAAATCCAAACTGGACAAATTTCTAAATTTGATAATTTGAAAATCATGGCATTGAAAAATCAACTAAACATCAATAAATAATAAATCATAAACACTATGAAATATTATGACACTCACCCAACATTTTAAAAATGGGCAGAGGTGTCATTTAAGGTTTTTTTTTGGATGTACTAAGTTTCAAACAGGCCATTTTGAAATTTCACTAGGCCATATGAAAAAAGATATACGTATATGGGCAAAATTCAGATTTCAATTATTTCCAAACATCGCATGTACCAAATTATTGCATCAATAAAAATGGGAAAAATCAATTTAAAAACTAAAATATAATAAATAATAAACATTCATAATAATTGACAGTATAAATTCAAATTAAAATACCATTTAAGAAGATTTAATTTTGAATATTATTTCAGCAGGGCGCAGGCCAATTGGCACTATTTTAGAAGTATATTGCATCATTATTTTTTATTATTTCAATTAAAATGTATTTTCTATACAAAAACTAACATATAATGCTATTATTAACAACTATATATTTATACTGTATAGTGTTGTAATACATAATATTCGTTTCTGTGACATATTTTGTTATTATAAATAAACCTACCTACATCGAATAACATATGTTCAAAAAATATTAAGCATACGTTTATTGTAAAAATATATTAACGTATACAATACTATAAGATCATACAGAATAAATTATGTCCGATGTCGAAATCCGATCGCTATCCGTTGCTTCCTGCTCGGTGATTCTGTTGGTTTCAGCCAAATCACTTGCAAATGGTCAGTCCGAAAAAGAATGCTGCAATTTTTCCGAGTCGATCATAAGGCAATATAGATTAATGCCTAATATTGCAGTGACATCTGGTGCAGATGATGCATTAAAGATACGATCGTCTTCGTCGTCGATATGGCAGGTTTGTTACCGAACGTGACAATAAGCGACTTCATCGGTCTATCAAGAAAATTATGGAGTTCAATGCCGAACATTCATATGGTGCTTGATGCAACCGAAACAACCGAATTTGAGTGCATTCTGTTGGAAGTTTTGGCTGAGATTGAAAACGGAACAACACTGGCTTGTGTGTACACTTGTTTAGATCCTGAAATAACCAGATGCAGTGCTGGAACAGAGCCCACGATAGCAACGGTCGAACTTAAAAAACATCGTTTGTTGTAGAAAAGGACAAAACAATTTTTTCGTTTCATGTTTTGCTGCGCAAAAAAAATGTATAAATTGTAATGTCCGAACTTATGATTGCGCGTATAAGTTAAAATAAAAATCAAGTAAATATATTAGGATAGTTATTGAAAATAGTATTGATTTACACAAATAAATGTCTTGTTATGTTATTTGATTGGTTTTTTTATTTGATGTATTATTATTAAATAAGGCCAACACGCATTTGTGAAAATGTTGACTTTATATTATTATATAAATAGGTATCTACTTTCACTTCTTTCAGTATTTGGTACTATTTTAAAAGTAAAGGCTAAAGGGTGCAATCGCATACCCTGATTCCCCCAAAAGACGCCCTTGAAATTGGGTGTAAGACAAAATAATTTAAAAAATAATAATAACCAAATATTTTTGGGGTATAAGCCAATTTACCTCCTCGTAGTGCACCCTGGGTAACTTTAAATGAACTGGAACGCGCAATTGGACTACGCTAAAGTATAACCTTTTTTTTCTCAAAATGCACTCGAATGAGTCAAATGACACCTTTTCCGAACGTATTTGAAACATTATACAAAGATCATTTTGGAATGCACTCGATAAATTCCCTATAAGACTGTTTTTTGACGTGTTGTTATATTTTAAAGGACTGTTATTGAAATATTTAAAAATTAATTTAAACTTTAGCGAAGAAAACCAAGATGTCAATGGACTTGGAATTTAGATAAACAAAAAAAAAGTATGTTCTCTACCTCTCTCTGTACACAAGAAATTTAAGCTTAACTAAAGAACTTAACATGTCACAGGGTAATCATAATTCATAACATTATACGTCTACAATGTCTACATGATAAAACATTTAATACAAGTTCAATTCAATCAAAATTGTTAAAATAAAAATAGGTAGGTACGCTATTCATAATTCATAAATTAAATGTACATAAAATAAAGTCAGAAAAACTTCGTATTGTATTACAAAATAAAACAGATATTATTAAATTGAATTGTTAACTGTAGTATTGTTTGCTGATAATTTTTCATTCTTATAATAAATGTAGTTTTTTTACAATATACGTAGTATAATTAAAAATATGATTTTGTGAAGGTTATACTTATTGTGATGTATGAGACTTCTCAATTTCTAAAAAAAAAAATTTGTTTAATATTATTAAAATAAAACTACGTAGCATTATAATCATTTCCTAGGAGGAGTTTCAAAGGAAACTTTTAATCTGAAGTAGTGATACTTAAAATATAATGGATATTGTTGAATCCAGGGATACCCGGAAGAGCGAATGCCACCCTTAAATTTCATTCACCCCTTCCCCGTAAAATACAACTGTCAACAAAACGTTTTTATTGAATATACAATACTCATCAAGATTTTGTTATCTTTTATTATTATTAAGCAATGAATCACTTACACATCTTACATCGAATTGCTTAAAATTTTTCTGATCGTGTTCAATAAAATATAATTCATTTTTATCGATGTTACAACTTTCAATAATGTGCACCCACTATAGTTACCAAAATTAAGAATACGAGACATATTGTAGGATATTGTATGAAAATAAGACGTATTGAAGGCGAAAAAGACTCACCTCGGGAGTTCATCAAAAAGGCGTAATCAATTTGTATGCGAAGCTTGATTTAAAAAATAAAAAATAAATTATCACCTTTTTTATTTGTATAAAATAAATAATATGTGCTCAGTGTATCAATTTCGAATGCACTGAATGAATATTGAATTGTGATTGTACAATTTATTTTATTAAAATGTATGACAAATTAAAAAAAAAAATAAAGCGAGCCCACTTAAAAACAAAAACATAAAGAAAATTGTTTGAATTCAACACTTGCTGATAATAAAAATATTAGAGAACAAATATTATTACGATATCGTTGTTCTATACGTGGAGCCCGAAGACGATATTATTATTATTTCGCTATAATATAATATTATTATCATTAGGTAGGTACTACACAAACGAAACGTTTTGTGTTGCTAATGGCTATCGTAGCAGCAATACGTATTGCGCACATTACACACAAACACACACACACACCCGACAGTTTTCGTCCTCGGTTGCGGCCCGCAGTCTCGGTGAACGCTCAACAGGCACGGAGACGTACACTGCAGATTGCAGTACTGCAGTCGTATCGCACGCGTCACGGCCGATAGACCCGACACGTGTGTGCAGTAAAAAAAACCGTTCTATGTTTAAATTGTATTGTTTACCGTTTTCGTTTTCTTTTCCGTTTACACCGCCGACGACGTTGTAAAAATCGTCGGCGGCACACACTCGCGCGAGATGGGCCGTCCGCCGTTCGCGTGGCTGCCGACGCTGCTTTTGCTGCGGACCGCGGCCTTTGCTGACAATCCGTGTCCGATGAACGTTTCGCAACCGGCACCCGACAACGCTTACCAGGTGAACGACGTACTGTGGGCTGGGCAACCGGAAAAACCGTATCCGCCGGCCGCGTACCGTACGATTCCGGGCGTCGGTTTCGTCCTGTGCACGTGCGAAATAGGACCGTGTGTCCGCAAGTGCTGCGCGCCGAACGCTGCGTACGTGAATTCGAAATGCAAGCCACTGAACGAGTCGGACCATGTCGCCAAGTTCGAGGTAGGGGCACCGTGATTGATTAAGAGTTTAAGACCCTAATGACTGTTTTATGCAACACGACCAAATGAGTTTTCTTATTTTTTGACCGTATACTGGGCAGGCATTTCCGGAATATCTTAAGTTCTTTGTTGTTGTGCGAGTCATTATTGAATAATTTCCATAAAACGTAGCGGCGTAATACTGTAGAAGGCATCACTTGACCCCCTAAAATGTTAGTGGGGGAAAATATATCATCCCCCCCCCATCAATCGCATAGATAAGCCAATAGTAAAAATTTTTAAATCTTCTAAGATAAAGGAACGATGCAATACATATTTTATAAGATAAAATATTTTATTTCTTGTTTCTCCTGTTGTATAATAATATGATGACCTCACATTACCCAAGTTACAAAATTAACTAACAAAAAAAAAAATTACCCATATTTTTATTTTATAAACTTTGATTTCAAGATTATCATCATATTATTTTAGAAACAAATTGTAGCATGTTTTTGTATGAACTCTACTTATTATATTTTACTATAACGGGTACTTACGATTTGTTTTTTACCCATTAGTTGAGCTTCAAGACTTATGTAAAACAACACTATTAGATTATAGTTTCAATTTAAAAGATAAATTATTTCCCCCCTCTAGTTATTTACCTAGTTACGCCATTTGTAAAACGTTAGTTGTGATCCTAACTCCTATGCAACGCTATCGTCTCCGTTCCAAGTTGTAAGAACAAAAACGTTTATTATTCTATAATAGAACTGATGGCGATGTGTTGATGTAGTAGACAACTGCGCAATCCTATAATATTACACTATTAATCTTAAGTAAATAGTGAATAGTTGTATCAAAATCTTGTTTTATCGATCAAATTTAGATCATCCGCCTCAGACCTCAGTGCTGGGCCAAGACTAAATCGTCTATACCTGGACTTTACTATCCCATATATGCACAACAGACTGCAAACCGTCCATTCAAATTTGTGTTTTTGTAGACCGCTTTCCAAACACACGGACTGTTATAATAATAAAACATAGGTTCCTTTCTATTTTCATGTGACTCGAAAAAATAAAATTTTCCCGAACGATATTGATTATTTCCTGTTAAGACTGAAAATCGAATGATTCCTGGCATAGAAAACATCCAATAGAAAGAAGCATCACGAATTGGCAGGCAGCACCCATTACACAATTCTCGGTTTTGTGTTGTAAACTTTTAAAAGAATAACTGCTGTTATTCCATTGACTATTTATTTTGTTTATAACATCATAACATTAATACAATATTATAATTTATCATGTATGATTATTTATTACAATTTACATTACTGCACATCGCGCTGTTCGAATGTCATCGAAACTAGTTTGGTCGTGGCTTTCTACATTTTGCACGTTCTGATTAATAGCGTGTTTTCCCACATTGATATTTCGTCGAAGTAAATATTATATATGTTATATCATTGTTTATAACAGTCTAGACCTCCTCATGGATTAAAATATTACAAAAATCGATTTATTTTGTTAATGCCAGAATCTCCCACAAATAACAATACATACGTAATACATGTACACTGAAACTGATATAAAATATAAATTACAAATGCATATTATCATAAGTCCGGCCGGCCGGCTGGTTATAATGTGTTCAATGTTGCCCGGTGCTTTTTGTTTGTGCGATAAAAATTGAATTAAACCATTTTATTTACGACAACTATTCTGTCCTACGATATTATAAATTATCATATTTTCGCGTAACTGTGTAAGGCGTAAGCTATTCGTAATAATAACTATGTTTCCATGGTTTGTAATTATCTGTTTTGATGTCTCTGTTGAAGATTTTACGTAGGTGTAGTATCACATAGCCCAACGATTTCTATTACGTAAACTTAATATTATGCAATATGTGAAAACTAAAAGATAATATTATAACGTGTCTACAAGTATACGGTGCAAATGCATTAAATAGTTTCAATACATTTTTAACTACTGACCAATGGGCCATAGGCATACTTGTATATTTCATGGAAGGTTCCGAGACACATTAAAATGTGTTTTCCGTATCTATATAATACTTCACAGTTCACACATCAGTACGTTGATATTCATAAATCATAATAAACAACATCATTGGTTTAGCTCAGAAATTATATTAATTATCATAGTTGAATATATTATATGACAATTGCGTATCTAATTCAATTTTTAAAAATTAAAAACAATACCTAAATAAATGTTTAAGCTAAATATTCAATAATTGTGTATTATTTTGTCCTTGGTTTATGTTTATGTTCTAAAATAACATACAAGTACTGAAATACCTAGTTGAGTATTTATAAATATTCTACTATTGTATAGGTACATGTATACAATTAATATGAGTGATAATCCCTAATCAAGAAGCTAAACTTTATCAAAATATAAACTTAATCTATTAGTTTTCTAATAACTTTTTCTTCAAAAATGTCTGGTTTTTATGTGTATCGTAATAATAAACACATCTTAGAGGTTCATCGACCCAAAATTTGGTTAGATATAATTCTTTAATGGATAACATAGTTAATTTACATTTCATTTTGGACCACAGATTCATAATTACTGAATTACCATAATATTTTACTGGACTTCAAAAGTAATAAACATTGAATAATTTTGTTCATGATACATTAATACCTATGACCTACGCTTAAAACGTAATTATATAATTATATACATCCTCAGTTATAACTCATTATTTTATAAGTATAGTCTAAAATAATCATATATATGCAAATTTATTTTTTTTATATAGTTACGAGTTTACGACTAGCTATGGAAGCGATAAGAACACTTTGTTATAAGAGATTAACGAAAATTCATTTTTTTAGTTATTTATGATAAATAAAAAAAAACAATTTAACGTAGGTAGTAAAAATAGACAATAATGAGATGCTGAATTGATGAATAATGTTTAATAATATACCAACTTTAAATAAAAATAAATATCAGCTAATACTTGTGTACAATTAGTTCTGCTAGATTTTATGTGTAAGTACTTAATACATATAGTTTTATGTTCATTCATAATATACATTTTTTCAAGATTAATTCTATATTATTAATCCTATTCAACACGCCAACATTGATTAATATATTCATCACACAAATGTTTAATTTATTTAAACTGTATAAATTTATTATTGTTAATAAAAATAATAGTTTTTATATTAAATTATACAATATATTGTAAACAAAAATAATTAATTATGACCTTTATAAAATCCACACAATTAATTTTTATTATATATTATATATTATATAAACTGATTAAGTCTTTAATTAAAATGTAACTAAGATTATATTTACTTATTTACTTTATTGGTATATGTATACAGTACTTTGTATAGACTATAGAGTATAGGATGTACATTATGTTTTTTTAAATATAATGTAATACAATTTTGAACTATCTTTTTTTAAAAAATTTTGACTTAATATTGGCGATGTAAGCCTTTTTCCGTGACTGCTATGTCTTTCCAATGTTCTCTATATTCATCATATTTTTTTAAGTTTTTTGCTTTGAAAGTTGGATTAGTTCAACAAAACACTAGTCCTGAAGTACGCGATCACGCTTTTTTGGTCGTACCTAGAGTTACTTTCTGTGGCATCCAATCTTTCTTCGTAATTACCACTATATCCTGTTGAATATCTAATTTATTGAGGTAAATAGGTCATCAATGGTTCAACGTTTATACTCATTGACGCCCAACTATATTATTAAAAAATCTTTTAATTTTATTTTATACTTGCATACAATTTTTAAATTAAGTCAAAAAATAATAAAAGTTTTAGACTTGAGAATTAATTTAGTTTTTATTATAGGTTCCGAAATTAATGAATGCAAGCGGGACGGTTGATGTATATGAGACGAGCGTGTTTCATATAGTCCATGGAAAACCGGCATGTGCTAAAAAATATAAATTGGTTCCATCAGTGGAGGAAAATGATCATTTCTTAGTATCTGGTGCGGGATGGTTGCTGAATGAATCGAAAACTGTTATTGCTGCACCGAATCGATTTTGTTTGGAGCAATTTTCTGATTTAAATTATCAAATTTTAGCAATTGTTTGTTCTCCGGAAATATCGGAGAGTCCACAGGGAGGTGTTAGTATAATTTATACGATCGGCATGATGCTGTCACTACCATTTTTGTTTTCAACGTTCCTCGTTTATGCGCTTATCAGAGACTTACAAAATTTGCATGGAAAGTCTTTAATGTGTCATGTAGCAACGCTATTGGTGGCCTACACCAGTCTAATAATTGTTCAATTTATTACTAATAGCGTTGTTAAAGAATGGTGCGTTTTTTTAGGTAAGTAAATATATATATATATATATATATATATATATTTTAATTATACTTTGGTATAATTATATACCTGAAATATATTTTTATACTAATGTCAACATTTTAAATTTATGATATAAATATAACCAGTAAATAAATTAAATAATTTATTCATTAAAATAATTTTAAACAACACATTATATGTCATATTTTATTACACATTTTTGGTTAACACAATAAACTACCATTATTATGTTATAATATAATATGTTCTAAGAACAATAATATTATTCATTATTCTATATTAACACGCAAATACGTAATAATAATTCTAATATGGTGATAAAATAATACTCGGACAAATATATGTATCTACATTGAATTAAACGACTTTTTATGACTGAAAAATCCACTTATAATATTAATTAATTAAGCAAAATTTACCAACACTTTTTCATCTGTTTTAAAATCATAATTTTTAGAAAATATATAGTTCAAGGTTATAAGCTGGCCAAGCTAATAATCTATATTATAGATTTACTTAACTCTTTTAAGTATTATAAATACGGTTTATTTAACATATATTTATTCTATGTAAAAAGATACTTTAGAATAAATGTCAAAATAGCTATTAATACACTTTGAATCTTTAAAAAATTAATTAAAATACAATTAAGTTAAAATAAATTATTGCGTACAAAAATTAACTTATATTTTTTTAGCTCATTTATCGCTTATCAGTAGGTAATAGTTATAGGTATAGGTATTTTTATTTTATTTATTTAGTTTTTTTTTGTTCAGTTAATGTAAGTTTAATTTATAAAATCTAAAATATTAGTTAAGCAATCTGTAGGACTTTAATTAAAATCATTATTTTAATATTATCTTGATAAAAAATATAGTTTTTAGTTGAAAACATAATACCTAAGTTTGAAAATGTATTTGTTGATACTAAAACTAGACAGAAAAATGTAGCTTTCCAGGAACTTAAATATTAAGGTGTGAAAATGTTAAGGCTATTATTGTTTTTTTTTTTTTTTAAACAATAGTTTAAAGCTCCATGTACACCAAGGTCTAATACGCGGTACACATCATCATTAACCGTTTGACAACAATAAGATGATTTTCAGTTTATTTTCAAAATACACATAATTATTTTATTTTAACGAATATATATATATATTATATAATTAATTAATTTTCTAAGTCGTAAAAATTTTAATGTTTAATTTTAGTTTCAAACGTTTGATAGAAAGAACTTAAGTTATTATAAAATTATTGAAGTACGCAAAACTAAACATTTCTAGTTAATAAATTAAAATAGACCAAATATGTGTTCATTAATTAATTAGAAACAAACAATAAAATATTCATTTATGTGTTTGAGTTATTTAATGTTTTATTTTAGGACTAACTAAATTCCATATAAACAATAGAAATACAATCAAAAAATCTAATATAAATTCTAATGGCTCTTTAATAAAAATTATCGAGACAAAATCGTGTTAAAAAATTTAATTTGAAATGTAAAAACTAGGAGGTGTGAGTTGTTGTCATACTGGCACTAAATAACTGATGATTAATGCAAAGCAGAAGTTGTTTTGTACAAAGTACGTTGTTTCTTTTTCGGAGCTATAGTAAAAGTAAATAAACCTGGACGATAAATTCAAGATTTTCCATACAATTGTAATCTAAAATCGAATTTGTTCGATTCAATATTTTAATTATATAATCTATTGAATTATATATTTTACTTTAATTTTGGCTAAAATTTATTAATTCGTCTGTTTCACTTCGTTTTATTCTCGCAGTCGGCCATACATCTGCGCTGTCGTGCTGATATATGATTATAAAATATGTATACTCAAATTTAGTGATAATACCAATTGATACAATCAACTGGTTGCTTGAGAAGTTGCAAATTCGTACAAATGTTTCCATTAAATGTTGGTACACTTCCTACACACGTGTAGTAGTAAATGCTATTGCCTCAAATGAATAATAATGTGTAGGTATAGGCACGTTTTTAAAATAAAATTATTTTAAATTAATTTCCAAAATTTAATGAAATAATAATTATTGTTTGAATTGTATAATATTTAATTTAATCACACACAATTTTAATAACGTAGTTTTAAAAATCTGATTTTTAGAATTTTTATATGTATTTTAAGACTACAATTTTAAAATCTTGACATATTTTGTACTATTTAAGGAGTTTTTTTTTTTAAATGAAAACTCCTCTTTTTTACTGTAAATCATTTATTGGACAATTTTCCAAAAAATTTTGACGTGTCTATCAAAATTAAAATTATAATAAATAGTTTGTTAGTAATTTAAATTTGTATACTAAGGATATTATTGGTTCATTATTATGGGTTTGGGAGATATGTGAACTATTACGATTTTAAAATTTTGATGATTATGATAATTTATCAATATTCAACATGGTATGTAATCCGTAAAAGTGGCACTACTGGTATTAGTATCCACCTCTATAACTATATTTTATAATTTTGTACAAATACAAAAGTTCTTAAAAATTCTTATTCTTAATATAAACATTAGTAAGTACTGGGAAATAACTCGTTCGCATTTAAATTGGTGCATCAACATTTAAAAAAAAAAATAAAATATTCACTATGTAAGGGAAAGGGGATTCTCATTTAAAAACAGAAGTTTGTATTACCACATGACGTATTAAGTAATAAAAATTATCTTATGGATTTAAAATATGGTTTTTAAGTTTATTTAAAAATCTTAAGAATCAGAATTATATATTAATCATAATACTTTATGAATCACTCAGTATATAATATACTATTAATGAAATGTGGTTTTTATTTGTTTCAGCGTATACCGTTCAATTCTCATTTTTGGCAAGTTTTTTCTGGCTTAATGTTATGTGTTTTGATCTATGGTGGACTTTCAGGTAAATAAAATATTATATATTGAATATTGAGTGTTAGGTCGTACTGATTTCTTCAATATAACAATCCTTCAGACAACAGCTAAGAAATAACCTTATCTTTGTCTGTATTCTTGCGTTATTTAGGTTTGTTCTACAGTCTACACCGCTACTATATTATATATTATAATTATCTATATGATCTGTACTATCGTCTATTATTATTATTATTATCATACTTTATTTTTTTTTTCCTTTTCTTATTTTAAATATAGCCGATAGTCATGTATGGTTATTGGTTATATTAAGTTCTTGACTATTATAGACTATATAGTTATAGATAGCCGAAACAATCGAAAATCTATCTTTGATTATTATAGTTGTCAGTGTTGAAAAATCTCCGAGTATTAGTATGCCAATATATATTTTTAATAAAAAACGAATCTTGAAAAAAATGTACAATCACGATGATGATGCTGTTAATTGATGATATTTTTGTTGTAAAATAATATTATAAACATATTGTTTAAATAACACGAGCAAAAATTAATTGGTTTTTAATTTTATTTATGATAAAATGTACGATACTCTGTTTGATTTAGTCGACGGTTCGCTGTATTTCGTAAACAACTTGTACTTACCATGTCAGCCTATATTTTATTATTTACATATTGTATATATAAGATGTACGTGTTTTTATTTATCGAAAAAAAAATTTCTTTATCGTAAACATTTAATTATTTTAACTAGGTATATACAAATATCTACACTTTATTTATCATTTAATTCATTAAATGTTGATAAGTGGCCAAAAGTATAAAGCTTTAACAGCGAAATAAACTGTCAATATGTGTAATTTAATTGAAATTTGAATTTCGATACAGTATATAGTTTTACCCTTTACCCATATCAGTCTTATAATAATTACTTAATATAATATTTAATATAATTACTGATATATGATTTACTATCAATATATTATGACTATAATTTCCTACGTTTTTAGGAAATGAAACAAAATGCTCTTTTATTTTTAAATTGAAAACTTACCAATAAAGTTTTTATATATTTTAATGTATAATTAAAACTTAGTAAATCGATACGGTTTATCACGGTAAAATATTTTATTTTTAGTAATGAAATAAAATTAACGATATTAACATTATTATCTACTAACAATTCAATACATTTTTGGTTTGATGTACATTATTTACATTCGTTTCAATATTTAAAAAGTTAAAATTAAATGTTTTATTATAGTTTGATATATTAGAGGAAAGTATAGTTAATTTCTATTATTCGTAATAAATTCTATAAAAATATAGAATTCATTATAATATTGTATTTAATATACTACTGGTTAAATGGATGCCAATTTATTATACACAATATATTGCATCACCACTAGTTAGATGCTATCTAAATTTAAAACTCATAGGGTTGTAAATTATTAATATTTTCAATAAAAGAGTATACTGAATATACATGCCATCACAAGGTAAAAATATGTACGTATATTATTAACTTTATAGAGTTCCCTCCATAATACTACGCAATACTAAACACCTAAAAATAATACACTTATATCGTCAAAAAAAAAAAAAAAAAAATTAACAAAAAACGTAATTTAGTTGTATATAAACAATTCTACTTATTAAAATGTTAATTTTCACACGACAACCCATGTACAATATTAATCGTATTTTAGTTTTAACGTAATAAAAATAACATTAAAATTTAAAGTATTTATATACTAAAAATAAAATAAAAACATTTTATACTGAAATATACTTTTTAATTTTTTGTCAAATTTAATCAGTATTACCAATTTTGAAAAAAAAAAACAAGGTTATAAATTATAATAATGTATTAAATTCAATATTAATTAAGAATAGACATTTAAATAAACGGCAAGAAATAGTGTTTTGGTTATAAGTAGTAAAATAGATACGTATACTTTTTAAATTATTTAATTTGTTTATGTATTTCATTTTCAGTGGATTTAGACCATTAAGAGGAAATTTAAAAGAACATGAGGCGAAAAAGTTTATTGTCTACTCTATTTATGCTTGGGGATGTACCTCATTTATCTCAATAATTACATTTGGTATGGAGGAATTACCATATTTACCATCTGGTGCAATTCGTCCGGGATTCGGAAATAAGAGCTGTTGGTTTGGTTGTAAGTATTTTTTATGAAAGTTGTTTGTTTTTAAATAAAGTTAAATTCTATACAAAAGATTTTAATCGAAGTCATAGTATTTGAGAAATTACTGTTATTTATTACTTCTTATATATTAATATTTTATAATAATTTCTAGTTTTAACAAAGTAATTACTTTAAATATATGCAGTTATTGTAAGTAGTTGGTGTATAATAAAATATATATTACAATTAGTAATTATTAGTTCTTATTAGAGTTTGGATTAAAAATTAACGTAAATATATATTATAGTATAAATAGACAAGTATATTTAATTAAGTTTATATACATTTGAAAAGAATAAATTTTATTAGTCTTTTTTTGTTGTAAATAATAATAACCGTTTTCTTTTTATATTTGACCTATTTACATTAAAAATTGATAAGAGCTCGCAAAATGCAATGTTTTAAAATAATAAACTAGAGAGTAAATATCCATTATCAATATTGCTCTCATGTACATTTTGATAAAGTCATTTTTAACATTGACTTTTAAGAATTAAAGAATCATCAGTCACCACTCACCACACAACTGTTTTTAAGGGGTGTGATATAGGCAATTTATATGTAATTTAAGAAAATACAAAATTTTAAATTTTACTTTCGAATAGTAAATTACTATTAGTAATTCAAGGTAACTTAAAAATTGTCTCATGATATCATTACCATTTACATAAATAGATTACGTTATTACTAATTATAAAATTAAAACGAAAAAGCGGTTTCTTATGGAATAAAAACAAAAAAATCGAATATTTACTACAATAAAAAAGAAAACTTGAACTAAGTTCATCTAGAGTATGATACACTCAGCATTATCTAATTCATACATACTTTTTTTTAACAGATACTAAAATAAAATAAAAAACAAGTAAAGAGAATACCTTTATCAAATTAAGACACGACTATTAAAATTGTACAGAATTATAACATTAAAAAAATAAATAAATAAATAATCAGACATATAATGTTATTTAATTATTCATAAATTTATATTTTAGCAAATTCAGCCATGCTGTTATATTTTTATGGTCCTATCGCTACTCTATTGTTAAGTAATTTGTTGATGTTTATACACACAGCAATAATGATTGTCAAACATATGAGGGATGCTAAAGTACTTAGAGGATCTGAAAGTCAAAAGAATGTGGACCATGAAAAGCGAAGGTAAATACTAAAAATTGTATCTATATTATTAACAATGACGTTATTTATAAAATTGGTAGTTTTATAGAATAGCAATTAAAATTATGATAATTTACCTGATGAATTTGATAAAAATAAAATTTATACCCATTAAATTAGTTGAACAAACTATACTTGAAATTAGAAATGTATTATGTTTCAGATTTATGTTGTACTTGAAATTATTCATCGTCATGGGTGTTAATTGGTTAATGGAAATTATATCATGGGCATTAGGTTCAGATGGTCCTGCAATTTTGTGGTACATCACAGACATTGGGAACTGTTTGCAAGGGGTGTTGATTTTTTTAATTTTTGTGTGTAAAAAACGTGTATTAAATTTATTAAACAAAAAGCTTTGTCCACAATTACAACTTTTTAAGACATCTAATGTATCTACTAGAACCACCAATAGCACCGTCTCTAGGACTAGCTCCAATGTAAAAAATAAAGACGCAGTTGAAATGTCCACTAGAAGTTCAAGCAATTCAACTAATAATCAATTGCACGACTTTAAAGCTTAACAAAAGTGTAATAAAAATAAAATAAACTTAAATTCAATTTCCTTATACTAAATTTAAAATTTGATTGTTATTTAAATTTATGCTTTTGACCACGATTTGTATTTTGATTAGAATTGAGTTTTTTGTTTTGAATTCTACTCCATGTTAGTTCCAAAATATAGTCTCATAATAAATACACTATTTTTAAATTATGCTTTGTTAGTTAGTAACATGTATAATTTACATATAAACGTAATGTATTTTTAATATTAAGTATATTAGGAGATTTTTAATAATTATTATTAATCTACTTTTTTAATGTATAATTTTACTAGTCATTTATAAATCATAAAGAGTACTAAAATTATATTAGTATTAAATAAATTATTATTTATTGACAATTGTGTATATTTACTTATCAATTTGAATTAGTTATCCATATTACATACCCACCTATTATAATAATTAATTGAATAATAATTATTTGATGAAATATTTTTTAACCTAGGAATAATTTAAAATATTTAGATGTTTTATTATAAAAGATTTCCATATTTTAACATTTATAATTAAAACTGACAAATAGAAAAACAGTACCAAAGATTTTTTTTAAGAGGATCTCCAACAGTACCATAAACATAAACATAAATTAATAATCTAGTTAATAAAAATTATTTACACAAATTTACTATGAAATTATGTAAACTATATAATTGTTTATTAAATTATTATTATTAAAACAAAATTTTATTTTATTTTCAATGAATGATGTATTTTTTTTTATTTGTGTATCATTACTTATAGCCTTTAGAGTTTAGGGTGATAAAATGCTTTGATTTTCAAATTTAAAGATGATTTCTAGTAGTAATTATTATTGGATTTAGCCGGTACTTGGTTATAGTCATTTTCCTTTAATAATTTTTTATTAGGTTTATCAATAAAACTTAAACATAAATTATTGTTTATGAATTTTTAACAATTCTATTTTTATTTTTTTATTTTTGTTTTATAGGATATCTCAACAAAAAATAAATATTAATTTAAAGAAAAAAATATTAGAGAAATTTATGATTATTTTAATATTTGGAGGGAAATGAATACAATTTTAGTCCAAAAAAATATTAGGAAGAAAACAAATTATTCCACAACTTAAAATTAACAACTCCTAGTACTTTCCAATACAACTGAAATTTTACGCTAAACCAGTTTTTAATATAATTGATTTTGTTTTTTATTATTTGTTTACTTACTCAATTTAAAAATGAATAACTATAAATACTTGAAATATTAACATTTTTATATAAGCATTTCTTGTTCATGGAATACTTTTCAAAATGTTTCGACAATCTAAGTGATTTATTAGACATTTTTGATTTTTTATGTCGATGAACTTTTTTTTACCTGGTCAAAAATCTTGAAATATAATATAAATTTTTCTCATAAGTAGGCTTGCCACATTTTGAAATCCCCAGGTTGAAACATGTGACTTTTTTTATGTAACACTTAATGCACTCGCTAAGCGACAGATGAACCTAAAAACCATGCCAATTAGATTTAATCATTTAGATAACATAATATAAGATTATCATATAATGATACAGTGTATAAAATTATTCAGTTTTATTTCTAAATAATAAAATAAACATTATTTTCTCTCAGTTTCTATTAACCAGAACAAACTAAATGACAGACCAGGATATGCTGTTAAAACTGGTACTAATGGCAAGCCTACTCAATACTCATAAGAAGTTAATAAGTTAATATTCTATACAAGCAATTTATTTTTTTCATAGACACCTGAAGTTTAAATTAAGATATTTAAACGAAAAATAACAATTTTAGTTATTTTGTTGTGATATAAAAATATTAATCATAGATACTTGAAACTTTTAATAAATATTATATTTTATACACATAATAACATTTTCAAATGGAATGTTTTTGGCAACAATTAATTCAATCTACTGTATTACTAATAGTAAAATAAGTTACTTTAATATAAATATAAATATATTTTAATATACACTTAGTAATATAAGCTGGCGTCTGTCTACATTCAAATTCATTTTTGGTAAGCAATGATTTATCATTGAATTCAAATTTAACCTAATTTAAAACCTAAATCCAAAATGTTAAATAATCCTTTTATTTCTTTTTACAATACACTAACAAAATTACAGTGTAAACATTTAACTTATAGCCTATAGGCTTAAGTAAGATTATAAATTTTTGAAGTTCAAAATTACAGTTAATGTTACATTTATTTAAATACATACAACAATTATTTGAAAGAAAAATGTAATAGTGTACACTATTACAAAGGATATAATATGTCCTAGAAATATTATTTAATAAATTATTTGACACAGCTAATTTAGTAAATGAAAACAAAAATAATTGTTTCTACAATTATGTATAATAGCAAATAAATTGTAACAAAATGTGCAAATAACATAAAAATACATTTTTAAAAGGAGAAATATAATAGGATGGACGGTTGATCTGTAAATCTTAAGGGTAAAATAAATTAGGAGCACTATAAAAACAGCTCATTTTAAAGATATGTAGTTTTAACAAAGGTCCTTAATATATATAGTTAAAAAATATAAAAAAAACTTAAATAATAACATATTATGTTGGAGATTATCATTTCTCATGAATATTAAATAATTGTTATACATATGTTTATATAAAATCTATGGTGTTACTAATTTATATTTAATTAAAATTATAATAATAGGCAAGAATACAATAATATATTAATAAAATGCTTTGTATAAAAAAATCAACGGGAAAATAAACACTGGTAAATAAATAACGGGATAGTCTTTAACAAGATTAGGGTGAAAACATAGGTACTATATACAATCAACAAAATAGAGAAATTATATGCATATAGGAATATTAATAGAGGAAGATTATCTTTTATTTTATTTTTTTTTTTGTTCTTTGGCAGGGTCAACTCTCTTTGGCTACTGCTTGTGGTATAAGACACAAGCCAGAACATAGTATGATATACAAAATATTATAATATTTACATTTGTTTTTGCTACTACTAAATTTAAATATTTTAACAATAGATAATATTAGATATGAACATGTTATTACTTATTACACTTGATCAGATAGTACTTTATAAAAGAACTTGTGTTACACAAAATTAGATTATTTTTACATTATATCATCAGTATGTTGAAATAACTATATTACAATTTAAATTAGACAATTTTCAACTTGTATTAATAATAGAAATTAAAGAAATGATAAATAGTCATTGCTAATCTGGAACAATGAGAAATGTTTCAAAATATATTAAATTTATGTATATGTACTCATAAGTCATGAACAATAATGTTGATAATTTGAATAAAAACACAGACTACCACAATCACATGTTAATAATTATTAAGTTAATATAAAATTCTATTTTAACTCGTCACTTGATCAACAAAAATCTCAAGTTATTAAAGTTAAAACATGAAAAAAAATTATCATTCTAACTATATATATATAAAAAAAAAACCTAATGCTAATTTGATTATGATTACTGAAATAATCTTTTGCAATTTTATTTAGTGTGATGTGCGCAAAGCAAATATTCCCCCACCAGAATAGTTTTTACTGTCAAAAATTAATGATGTAAGATAAATTTTGACAAGTATGACGTGTGTTAGTAAATCTTGGTAATGACTGTCTTATCATAAAAATAATAAGATCACCCTGCCCGTCGTCTGACCAACGGAGGAAGGTCACTAAAGTACTACGTCAGGCAGGGGCGCCGCACACTAGGCGGACGAAGTCACTTTACGTTCTTTATAGTAGATTTCTTCAGATTCTTTGTTGCATAACAGTAATACAACAGCACCAAACAAAAATATTCCAGCGCCCCATCCTACGCCGTATGCCCATCCAAACTCCCACACAGTACGGTTTCCTAAAATTTTTTATTAATACATGATTAAAATTTCAATTAACAACAGTAATCACAAGTTTATATTTTACCTAAATTTAATTCAGCTGCAAAACATACTGGATACACAATCAACGCTATCAATAAGGACAACACTATATAAAAAAAAAAAGAATTAATTAAAACGATTTTTATGACACAAATATAAAGATCATTAAGGTATACAAACATGCAAGTAACATAACGTAAACGGCTACTCTGTAGAACTTGTATTTAGTTCGCTGATCTTTGCTCCTCAACCCAAGTCCTGTTAAAAGAGTGGCCACTATATCTGTGACCAATGTTACTATACAGAGAGCTGCAGCTACTCTTATGTATCCTAAGACATAAAAAACAATAACATTAATTAAAGTTGAATAGGTGAACAAAATGAAACCTGATACATACCAACTTCACGTGTTGGATAACAATCTGGACCATTATCAGGTACATTAAATGGTAATGGGGTAGGTGCATTGACCGCAATGCAATGAGAAAATAAACCTTGACGCCAACCGGCTGATAATAACCAATCAGTGGAAGTCAATGTCAACAGCATCAGAACAATTACAATTAGTCCACATATCAAAGCGATCACCTGTGAAAATGTAACATATTATCAATTATACAAACCCTCAAATTGACCAAATTATGATATATCATAAGCAATTTTGGAATGAAATACAAAATGCTTAATAAATATTATTAAATACTTCTGTATTTTGATTTTTAATTTTTTATCATTAATTACAATCTAAAAAAATAAAAATATAATAATATTTAACAAACAAATTGAATATAATATCAATTCAATTATTAACAAAAAAATATGTGTACATAGAGGTATACCTACTTATATTCATGAAAAAAAAAAGTTTGATTTTAAAATTATTTTATAACTGTTTTTCTTATTTATTTATTTCATCAAATAAACATAATAAAATATATTACACTGCGATTAAATCTTGTGTAACAGTCATGGCAGTTACATACTTACATCTTGCCTACATTATTAATAAGACTATTCATTCACAGCAGTATTGCAGGAAGGAACGAAACCAAATATTTCAATAGAACAAACACTATGCAAGTGAAAAATGAAATAACTCATTGAAACACTCAAATCAAAAACTTATCCTAAAAACAATAATTAGCACACGCTCTTGGTCCACAATAGATGAAGAAAATTGACGACTTGTAACCCTCGTGCACCTTATGTCTCGTACTACTATTATTCTCAATGCATTTATACTTAGGTATTTATCGACAGTAATTGCAGGTAAGTGTAATTATAAAGAGCTATGCCTGCCCCTCATACACTTCGTTCTAACCTGAGCGCTGTAACCCTTGTCGGACTGCATCGACCTGCCGTGCCAGTCTTCCGTTTCAGCAGCCGTCGCCGTCGCCGGATGTAGCGACAGTTCCTGGCGCCGCTGCCACGTAGTTTCCACGGCCGTCCGTGGCAGGATCAGCTTGCCGCTGTATTGCGGGCCCGTCTTGTATACGCGTTTCTGGGCAAATGCCCAGAACAATTTTATCGGTTTTAAGATGTATTATACACACACGATAGCGTGTCTATAATATAACGCGCGTAGTCAGATTGAGAGGACTATATTATTATTATTATTATTATTATTTGTTATTTTTAAGTAAATCGAAGTTCGGGTGTTAAGACTGTATTATTATATACTATGAAATAGACGTTTAAATATTATTCCACTAGCACGTGCACAACAACGAGTCGAATAAAACGATATATTATATTAGTAGCTATTTCGAGAAGAACAAATTGATTTCGTAAGTCAGCGTTCGATTTCTCTACGGGACGACTCTACCCTTATCCGGAACGTCAATAAAAAACATTCGCGAGAATGTACGTAGATAGACGTGCGCGCACACACACACACATACACAAAAGCACACACACGAACAGTATACTATCGTCCCTCTCTCCGCGCAAATCTAGGCGATTGGCACGCGCAAGCTCGAGAGTTTACCCCGCCCGTAACTCACCTTTTAAAGGCAATTCGTACTCAAAAGCCGTTTCGACGAACGCCGACGAGGACGGGTCGCCCGCGAGCGAGGGTTCGATCGATTAGACGTGCTGTCGAACGCGCCGCCGCGAAGACTACAAAACCGCCAAGGGTGGTTACTGGTTATTACCTTATATACATATACACACACACACACACACACACATATATATATATAGACGATAAAGCAACATACATAACACACATACCTATATTACTATACATATTTACAAGAGCTTTACAGTTAACGCGTTGCGACGTTATACCGTGCCCTACATCGCCACCAGCTAACTCCCAATATAAACACAATAATATTTTCTCTCTTATACCTTCTATAGGTACCTCTACAGTCTCTCTATAGTATAGAATTCGACCGCACCCCCATCTGGAGCGACTCCGCACAGTTCAACATAAATTTATAAATTTTTTTTTCCCCGTCTGTGTATACACATACAGTATACATTCATTACGACTACACCCATCCATCGCTGACAGATTGAACTAAAACGGACGTACAGCAAGTATATCGTTTACTATTATATACATTTGAATAGACTCCTGCACACATCACACGATAAATCATATATAATTGAAGACTGCGGCATAAACGATATATAGACGGAAATAAATTGGTCCAGAGTAAGTATTATCGCTATTATTATTGGTAGTAGTAGTAGTAGTAGTACTAATAGAAGATATTTAGTGTCTAAATTTTTATATTATAATCAAACTTAGTTATTGAATCATTATTATTATGATGGTGTTCCAAAAACCATAGCTTTCAATCATAATTGTATCTATTAGGGGTACACCGTACACCACATTCTGACAATTACAGAATAAATATGTTTCTAGGTTGTAAACTGGCCAAATTACTAGTTAAATGAACGCTGTTTTATTTTTACAATTTAATTGTATCAGTTATAATCTAAAGTGAATATTTGATTGCTTTAAGTAAAAGCTTTGCTCAATAAAATTAAAGTTTTTTTTGTTTATTTCTCAATAATGTTTGTAGTTTATGTAATAGTTTAAATGATAAAGTACAAGACATTTTTTAACTGTGAACAACTTAAAGTTATTTATAAGGGTACAATAATTCTCAGTTCAGGAATCTTATGTTATGGTACATTTGATTTAACATATTTTATGACATGATTTAGAACAGCGGTTCTCAAACTGTGGTATGCATACCAATAGTGTTATACAAAAAAACCGCATGGTGGTAGGACGGAAAATTAAAAATAAATATTTTTACTTGTGTTTGAAATAGTTGTTACAATATTATTTATAAAATAATTACAACTATATACTAGATATTCATGTTTACACTAATGCAGATAGTAATTCGTTATGTTGCTAACACTACAATAATATCTTATAATATATACTGAACTTTTACATTCATATTAGCAAATCATTTTAGTTTCTTATAACTTAAGATATACATAATTGATAAAAATTAATTTATACATATTTATTATTTCAGCATAAAGTAAATTATATATCAATAATAAAAATAACTTACTTTTAAAGGTCTAGTGATAGTAATAGTTTCAACAGTAGTTGCAACTTGGGCCATGTTATATATTTGAATTTAATCCTGTCAAAAAGAAAAAAAATATATTAAAACAATAGTTGAAGAAACTAAATTAAATTTAGTAATAAATTAAAAACTAGTTTTAAAATATAATGTAGAAATTATTAGTTTATAATAAAAACCCCTGTAGTACTAAAATGAAAAATTCTTTGAGATTTATAAGTTGTAACAGTTAAAAAATTAATTAAACACAAATACTATATAATCTAATATTTTAAACCAAATGTCATTAGTCATTTTCAATATTAAAACAAAAGTATTTTATTAGTTTTTAAGCAACCCAATTGTGATAAATACCTGTAGTATAATAGTACATTTTTCCTGAGATTTATCAAATTATTAGATTATTAACATGATACTATGATAGGTAGGTATATCAATTATTATAATAACTAACCTCGACGGCATAACAATAACAAAACAGTATCAATAATTTTAGCACCTAAATATTTTAAAAATAATAATATTTTACTCCTCGATTCCTATTAACTTTTTATAAAAATATAACAAAATATAAAAGCACAGTAAATCTTAAACTTTTAGGAATTGTTTTGACATATTTACATTAAATTTATTATTGATTAATAAGATCTTCATAAGAAGAGATTGGCACCCTTTAAATTAAATAATAATTGTTTACTACTATTCATTGGCTTATTTTGTTTAGATTAGGAAGATTTTAATCCTCCTGCCTAAAATTCAATAAAATCTACTTATGAAAGACATTATTCATTATAATAAAAAATGCTATTTAATTAAAAAAAAAATTAAAAACAAATAATATGTTCTTAATATACAATAAAATGGAAACAAGTAGTTGAGATAATTGTTTAATATATAATCTACCAAAAATTATTTGATACAAATGTCCATATGTTTATTATCTATGCAATCTACAAAACATATAATGATTTACTATCTTTTAAAATGTAATACACATTTATTAACTACTTTATTGGCTATTTCAAATTATAAACAAAATAATAGATAGTGAAATAGAGAAAAAAAAATAATCCAAATATTTAGTTATTGGATGTCCTATAATAATTAATAATTGATATTTATTTTATTTATAATTTTATAATTTTTTAAATATTAATACCCCACACTAAGATTTAAGCAAATTAAATATTTTTATTAATGTATACAGATCACACACATTGTAACCACTATTTTTCGGAAAACAATTATTTAATTGTTTTATTTTGTAGATTATGAGTCTTCCTGATATAATTTGTAAACCCTTCATTACCAATTATTATTTGTTTATTAAACACAGTTAATAATGGTTAAGTTTTATAAATAAATTTAAAACATACCTATTTCTTATACAAAGACACAAAGACATTTCGTTAAAAATATTAATTATAAAATAAAGATATTTCCCATTAAATAAATAAAAATAGTATTATTTGCATGGCTGTAAAAAACATATGCTTGAAATTATGAAAATTAAATAGGTATATTTATAAAGGATGTACTGTATTTATATTATCAAGACATAGAATATTGGTTATTCCAATTAGTCATAAATACAAAGTTTAAAAATCCTTTATTTAAATGTGTACATTCTAACTACTAAAGACCTACCTTCCAAACATTCTGACTACTATTTATAATAAAAACTTGTATTAATTAAAAGTAAACTTATGCACTTCAGTATTGACCTAAATTTCAGTGTACTAAAGATATTGAAATATTATAATAAGATCAATACTTACACCTTGTGTAGACTAGTGTCCAATATAAATTTGGTATATATAAATCAACATAGTACTATAACAGACAATAATTGTACAGCAATAGGCATTTAACATCAAAGTCTCGAAAATAAATTGAATGACGCAATATATAAATACATAAACACTACATTAAAATTCATTCATGATAAGGATTAAGGACCGTGGCTATGGTACACGGGTACAAGTAATGAATAATAATAATGATCGTTGTTTTTTTATGCGTGAACAGTGAATGGTGTTTATCCTACATTATTATCAACTACGAAATAAAAAACATAATATTATAGTAAATAAAAATACTATCACTTGCTTGTAAATAATCAGTCTGACCATATAATAATTCTGAAATAGCTACGTATAAACATTAAATACTAAACTACTTGCTTACTAAGGATATAATATAGTTGAGTATAAAATAATGATGTGAACTTTGATAGTTTTAAATTAATATTATAAATAAAATATAAATTAGGTCATTACTCATTATAATTAATAACAACTACATATCCATTCATGTTTATAAATATAAATTTTCAGTACTAAGATAGATGCCTAAGTATTAAATACGAATCCGATCACAAGCTTGGCTGTCGCCTACTTAGGTATTTGCTTTACGATTTATAAATTAAACTTACTTATTTTGTTTAAATATATTAAGCTAAAAAATACTGTATTTATAAGTTTGTATCGATTGTATATTTTTAGACATTTTTTTCTAAATGTGCACACAGACTTCACTGGTTAAGTATGTAAAAACAAAAATTAAATCCTTTTCCAATAAAATAAAAAAGGAAAAAGTAGGTAACTATTTGCTGCTGTATCCAGTAAACCTCATAATTGGGTAGGTCTTTGTAATTTATAATACATTAATACGTTATTTGAATTCAATGATGACTTGTTGCACGCGAAAAACGATTTTGATCCAACAGTCCATCAGGCATCAGCCTATATTACTTAGTATATTGTTAATGTATGATATACCTACACTAAAACCTAGTTAAGACGCTCCCTCTTAAGAAAATTGCTATCTCGCTTAATTAGTGGATTTTTTTCGGTCCTTAGTACCTGTAGTTAGGTCTTATAAGTTATAACATTGAAAAAAAAACACGCTTGATAATCTTTCTCTTAATTCACTCTCTTTTCTGGACACTTGTACCTCCTATACAGTATACATAGAAAAAAGTAAAAACCCATTTAATTCGTCGATAAAAATTTCGTTGAAACGTGTTTACGTATATCTTAACTTCATAAGATAATAAGATAATATTATATATGTGTTCTAGCTCAGCGCACTCGTAAACTGTGTATACCTACATAGTTGATAGTAGTAGTTGTGTTTGAGCATTGAAGTGATGCACATAAGACACGTAGATTTTTAATTTTTAATTTTTATAGTTGTTGACTCAGTGGTGTATTGGAGAGTATACGCGGGTATACGATATATAATCGGATCCCTATTTTTGGATTTATACGTTTACCTTAAAAAAAATTCGGCTATTGTAGGTATACGCCAACTGAAAATGCATGTATTATGGGTATGCGTAAGCTTCTAGTTTATCACCAGTCATAATTAATATCACAGTGACAGTATAAAATAAATAATAATAATAATCTGTTGAAAGACTAATTCATCATAAGATACATTCAATGCCGATGAGTTTAACTCGTTCTTTAAATTGATACCAGATGATTCGCTAGTGCTGAAAGATAAAAAATAGTATGGTGGTAAACTAAATTAGGAAAGGTTATAACTGTTTTAGCTTGGTAAAACTGGACTGGAACTAACAAGTTAAAATTATTGGTAAAAGTCAATAGGTAAATTGAAGTCCCTCAGATGTTTTAAAAATGTACACTCTTTCGTGTGAATATAAAGCTTAAAACCGCGTGTGGATGACTGGAAGTTTATTCATTGATTGGGTAAAATAGCTTAACCTCGTGTTTGTTAAATAAAAGAGAAAAATTATTTTATTAATCGACAATTGTTCTGTTCATTCGGAAGAAATTTTCCTTACAAATATTAAAGTTGTACTTTTCTCATCGAACATCACAAACAATAGCTTCAGTCTCTTGATTAGGGTGTAATCAAGGTTTTAAAACAAAAGTTCCATAAGAAATTGGTACAAAGGTATTTATTATCAATAGAATTAATGACCGATGAACAAACCCCCAAAATTAATATTTCAGATGCCATTCACTATATTTCAATTGCGTAGGATGAGATAAAATCAAATGTAATTAAAAACTGTTTCAATAAAGCTTACTTTAGAAACGTCCCACATGACATTTTGAACTCAGGTAAAGAAGATGAATTTGAAGAAGCTTATCTAGGCTACACATCTATTAACGACCAACTGATTACGGGTGAAATGCTAGGTTTTGAAGAAATTATCAACCCTATTAAAGTTAATGAGTTAACCAGATGTTTTAAAGGATGGCGAGAAAAAAATCTCTTCATCACTCCCTTCACTTGTAAGTACTGTACAATCAATATCTTCATTGAGACAGGCACTTACTGTAACTGATGGATTCGAAAATATATTTCAATCCTTAGGTAGGATAGAAACCTTTTAATTGAATAATCATAGAACAGACTTATTAAAACAATAAACCTTTACCATCTTCAAAAAAAAAAAAACCATAATATAATATAACATAGTAGTAATAATTAATATGTATAGTGTATACGTAATATAATATAATATAAAAACCTTTTAAATGTGTATGTATCATTCTATATTTGATTTTTTTTTTTGTGTGTAATAAATAACATGTAATACTATGAACTTTTTTCTGTCTAGCATCCCGCATAATACGTAGTTTTACGATTTCCCCTTCGAGAGTGTCTTAACGAGGTTTTTCTGTATTTCTATTACTAATTTATTTTATTATTTCTTATACAATAGATATTAGTTACTGTATAAATAGGCTTAAAATCCTAAATATGTTTAAAGTGTCATTACTCATTACATAAATAGTATAGACGTTAAACGTATAATATAATATAAGCATGTAAAATTCTTAGGTCTTAATGAATAATATTATTTTTAATTAAAAAAAAATAGCATGAATCTTTATTTTTTGTTCAAATATGTATCTGATTTTGGTATTGTCCAAATTCAAACTTAACATGTTTATAAAAATAAATTGTGCCTTTATACTTTTTTTAAGGTTTTTTAATTTCAATATGAATTATACACGAGGAACCTATTGTATTGAATTTTTAAATACTTTTACCTAGTGATTTTTTTTTCATCAAAATTTAAAAGTAAAAACCAAAAAAAGTTCCGAAAGTTTAAAATTTCTAATAATAGCTAAAAAATAGTCAAAATATTTTGAAAATTTTATCTTGTATAGAAAATGCTATTATAAAAATGTTGTAAGAATTTCAAGTATCAATGATTATTTGATGTTTAATAACAACCATATGAATAATTATTCTGTAGCTAAAATTTTTTAGTAGGAATTTTTTAATAGATATATTGTATATAATGAAACCAAAGTAACGTTTATTATTATTTTTTCCACACTAAAAATGTACAATGATTTATAACTTAAGTGTGCTGGCTACAACAAATTTATAAATAAGTCACGTAGTGGCCGACTAATGGATATGTAGGTACTACGTATTAAGTAATACTTCCATGGATATATAGGTATATAGATAAATGTATGATTAAGGCTACGAAAACTGAAAAAGTTCACTGATCAATGATTAGCAATTACTAAATGTACTATAAATTATAGATCAATGCACTTGAGGGGGAGTAATTAAATAGGTTAAAATTAATTTAAAACTACTGTAGTTTGTTGCTTTATAATTTAATTATTGGTTTCTTATAGATATGTGGTAAATAATGAGACTACAAGGAGACATGGAATCAACCGATGACGAGCTTGACCAAAGTGTGTTCGAAAATAAAAATGGCCTAGCTGATGATATGGCGTTCCTGGCCAGTATGCCCGAATTATGTGATGTAACATTTTTGGTCGGTGAAACGAGAGAACCAGTGTGTGCTGTAAAAGCAGTCCTAGCTGCAAGGAGTCGGTAAAATATTTACAGTTTTGATTAATTTTTGTCTTATTATAGAAATATCTACTATTTAAAATAAAATTTACGTTATAAAATGCCTGAAATTTTGCTTGAATAATAATATAACAACGGTCAATAATATAACGCTCAGTACTTAAAAAAAATAAATATGTTTATTAAAGTTATTAAATTTAACGTAAGTTTAGATATAAGAATAAATAGATAAAAACCGCTAAACCAAAAGTGTTAAGTAATTCTTCATCTATACCTATTACGTATATCGGATATTTCTACAGGCTTCAACCTTATGCATACATAAAAATATAAAAGTTTAGGTACTAGTTTATACATAGGTATTAGGTAGTAGTCATACTAGCCAGCTAATTAACAATTATCCATAGTTCATAAGTACTGTACAGTGTTAATCATGAATTCGTAAAATTATTAAGTACCTATATGTTTAAAGCCATAAAAATAATTAATGATATATCTATCTTAATTTCGAATAAGTACAGTCTTATTCAATATATAATAAAATCTCTCACTAATATACTTATTGGTATTAAGTTCGTATAATTTAAGGTTTTCGCCACTTAGAAGATTCATTTAGAAAAGATCAGTATTTATTTTATTTCATAGTAATAAATAATGAGCAATTGCGGTGACCAGTTGTTTAAAAATATTAAATTATTAAATTAAAACATTTCTATTTAAATTAAAGAACTTAAAGTAAAGTATAATTGTGACAATTGTAAGAACTTATTTCATAATTGTGTGAAGTTTTTATCGCTTCCTAGTAGATAATTTTAATATTTTTATTGATTAATCTCATGGATCATAATTATTATATTTATGAGTAGAAAGTATTAAGTGTATCTCAGTATCTATATAATGTTGAATGATTAAAAAAACATATCAAAAATAGCGACCAAAACAACAAATTAGTACTATAAAAACAATATGCCACGTTTAAAAATATTTTAATTATTTCTTTAAATTATTTTATGAGTCAACACAATATAATAAAAGTCTAAGAATACTTATCTTGTTGATTTAACTCGAGGGCGTCTTGGTAAAGATTGGCCAGAATTTGAAGAACGCATCATTTTTACTATATAAGGATTACACTATAATAAAATAATATTTGTACGGCAAATACGTATACATTTTTCAATAAATTTAAATGAATATACGTATATTTCGTAATTTTTATTAATGCTTTATACTTTTTTTCAATATTTTGTGTTTGATACTATAAATGCCTAAAATATTATAATTTTTATATCTTACTTTATTTGTTTAAATAAGTTTTCCATTTTACAACTCAATTAGTTATTTAATTTATTACTTTTTTAGCAATACAAAAATTAATTAAATAGTAACTACTACTTTATCTTTTATGTTTCGTGTTACGTACTTGATTGGGTCTTGAATACAGTTGGATAATTAATTTTATAGTAAAATTCTATATTACCTATGTTTTAAATTTTTAATAATTCTGTTACTTTTTGACATCAGAAATGTGACAATATTAATCATTAGAATAAAACGCATTGATCTTTGTTTTTAATATTACAATCAACAAATTAAATTTTTGTTATGTTCACGTATATTACCAGAGAATTTTCAAAAAAAAAAAAAAAAAATGAATGAAATATAAAAAGATATGGGTTTAGTATTTGGTTTAGTATAAGAATAATATACAAATGGAACATTAATAATGTTTATATGAAAAGCTAAATAAAACTATAAAATGGATATAATACGAATTATTTTTCTAAGTCTAAGTCATATCTGTAAGTAGGTGATTTTAGTAATATTGTTTATAAATTATTATAAAGTATAATTGCTTTTAATAATTAAAAAAATATATTTCAAAATAAAATATGATATAATATACCTATTTTAAATAATTATGAGATAAAATTGTAATATGAAATATAATTGTATAGGCTTGTGATACATTTTTACGTTTTAAAAATGTATCTTACTTATGTAAGATTTAAAAAAAAAGAATATATATAAACTTATCATATATAATTATTAATTAATAAATAATTAATGTAATATATAATTTGTAAATTATTATATTATATTATATTATATAATAAAAACACTTTTTATCTAAACACAGAAGTAACTAATTATGCAACCAATACTCCCCATCATAGAATTATGAAAACTATAAATAAATTAAATATTGATCTGTTCATATCACCAAACTTCTATTCATTCAAAAATTATTGTAATTTCTTACTTCGTAATTCATAGCTTTAAGTATATTAATAATAATTAATATTCTGCTTTATTGTTTTTCTCTATAAGTATTCTGTTATTTGTATATTATTTTAACGATCGATTGTTTTTATTATTATCATGTATGTAATTGGGCCTGGCCCGTTTAAAATTTAAATAAATAAATAAATAATTATCAATTTAATATAATAAAATATAAAATAATTTGTAAAAAAAATTCATTGATATTTTATGAATATAACTTATTGAATATTATACTTTCAGAGTATTCCATAAAATGTTGTACCAACCACCGAGTCCCCAAAGAAAAAAAGAAGTTTTACCTAAAGAGACCACAAAACTAAGACGGCCTACATTTCTTAAACGAAGCAGCGAACCACTTCTCAATGTAAAAAATGCTAATACACAAGTATGATTATAAATTGATTCAATTTTATAAATTTTAACACAATTCGATCAACGGAAATAGGTTCTATTTAAAATGTGTCTTCTGAATCAAAAAAAAAAAAAAAAAATTGACTAGGATATATTGTATTTACTTTATTATTTTATCATTTTATATATTATATAGACTCAATCCAATCAACATCAAACAGTTGTAGTTGATGAATTCGAACCAGACGTGTTTCGCCAACTCATTGAATATATACACACTGGTTGTGTAACTTTGCAGCCCAGAACATTATTAGGTGAGTCAAATTAAATAAATATGCATAATAATAAATTATTAAAAATAATTACTTATGCTATTTTTTGAACACATCGTATTTAAATACATTAATTTAAATTTTAATGATTTATAGTTTTATATTTCACAGAGAAGCATTTTATACTGCTACCTATATACATACTCTTACTGTTATAACCTATAACAACAAACTATATATACTTTAAAAACGACCACTCAAATAAATTGCATTTTAGATGATATTCTATGTGTTTATAGGCGTTCTGAATGCAGCGGATTATTATGGCCTGGAAGATCTGCGAAAAGCTTGCACGGGTTTTGTTCAATGTTGCATAAATGTGGACACGGTCTGCGCACTTCTATCATCAGCAGAACGGTACATTCAATACAAATGTACCAAAAGCCTCGTGCAAAAGGTAACGGTATTATAATATTGTCCCTTGTAAAATATTATTCACTATATCTGGTCGACATGATTTTTTTTTGACGCTGACGCCAAATGTCTAGGTTTTGGAGTTTGTCGACGAACACGGTAACGAAGTGTTAAACCTCGGATCATTCGCTCTGTTACCACTACACGTGGTTCGATTGATATTGAGCAGAGATGAACTGAAGGCAGACGAATTCACTAAATTTCAGGTGCCTACCTTACGTATAGCATTATGTTATGTAAACATAGTATAAGTACTATTTGTTCACAAAAAGAGTAAGACCACTGTAACCAGTAACCACTAACCCCGATATAACTGTATTATTAAAAGGCTGCGCTGATGTGGACGATGAAATATGGCGATACTAACCCGAATGTCGACTGGAAAGAAGTTTTTGTGGAAAATTTCATGTCATCCATTCAATACCATAAAATACCGGCTAATGTACTGATGAATGAAGTGGAACCTTTAAAACTAGTTCCATACGAAGTGATCATGACATCATTAGCGTATCAGGTGCGCAACAAATTTCATAAAAATATAGTTATCGTAGTACCTAATAAAGTTCTATTGGTTCGTGAATAAGTGCTCATGATGTTATTGTTCTAGGCAGACCCCTCCTGTGTCGATCCCGACAAATTGAAGAGGGCCTTGAGAATGGGTAATTATCATGGACTGATGGGCATCAGTAGTACAATTGGCACCGTGACGGCTGAAAGGACCATGTCGGTGCAGAGTTCAGGCACACACCATGGTTCCAGTTCGACTATTAGCTCCATTGGATCTAGTGATCTAGTTGGTTCTGACAAAACTTGATCCGAGAAAACTCCAAGTTCATAGGCGTGCGCATTAGCCTTAATCTTGGTTTTACTTAAATAAAAACTTACAATTCGTTATTAATTAGATATTGCGTCTAATTAATTAGGTATCGTTAATAAATAAAATTCTTATCAACATAAAACAATCAAATTTACTCTAATAAAAAGACTGTGATGGTTACTAAAATGAATTTTACTTTAAAAATACAATATCATATTATTATACGTACAAATATTATTATCATTAAATTAAATACAAAATATATTATTATAAGGACCAATGGTAATCCAAAGTTACCTATAACAATAATCTGAGCATAATACATAATATGATAGTCATATACAATTCAAATCCTATCTGCGCACGCCTATGTATAAATATTTATATATATACATGTATGTATGTATATATATATTTATATATACTCAAAAATAAAAAACATTTTATCAAAAATGAATTAACTTGAGATCCATAAAAAGTTCGATTTAAATTGACTCTAATGTAATCATTCTGATTCAAATTCAAATAATCACCTATACCAATGAGATTTTTAACTTTTTGAATTATTTAATATACATGACACTTTTTTATACCTACTATAGGTATCTTTAAATCATTGTAATATTTGTATTCAAATTCAATTTTTTCTGTTCTTAGAATTTTGTAAACACTTTAATGTATTGTTCGTGCACAGTTTGACAATTCACTATAAAATAATTTAGTATATTACTTACAATTTAAAATTTATGTGTGATAAAATAGATATTCAAACATTTCGCTTTAATTTCAGCTTAAAGATACTAAATAATTATATTGATTAATTTTATTCAATACAATTTTTAGCTTATGACATTTATCAAATTAATATTTATTATTAAAATACACACAAAAAATTCTAAAAATTTTTTCGAAAACGTTCAGACATTTTAAAATAATTAGTATTTACTGAAAAAACCACCCCTTTATTAGAACTAACTAGATACTCAAATCCATATAATTTCTTGATAATAACGTATAATAGAAACTAATGGAAAAAATAACTTTATTAATTTGAATTTCATTGGCATATGGTTATCATAATTGTTGCCCACGTTTATATAATCATAACTTTAAAGATTTATATTACATGACTTGTGCCAAAATGTATTTATATATATATATATACTTAAATCTAACAAATAATTTTTAAATTATATATGTGTTGTCTAACCTGTTTAAATTATTTATGTGTCTTTTATTAAAAGTAATATTTAATAATTTTGTTTAATAATAATAATACTATTAAAATATGAATGTTATTATATACTTTGTATAAAAAATTATAATCTTTTTAATCATTTTAAAGTTTATTAATAAAATATAATATATAGAATATAGTTTCTTTAACACAGGTAAGACTTTTTCTATACATATTAACCAAATATATATATATATATATTGTATATGTCTATAATATATATATATCTAATATCTACTATATTTTTATTTTATTGAAATAATAAAATTTTAATTACTAAATGAAAATTTACAGGTACTTAATAATAAAGAATTATACTCTTATAGAAAATTCATATTTATAAATTAAATATTAAATTATATTATTGTATTTCTGACTATTCTAAGTATAAAATACAATTTCATAAAATAATTTAATAGTTTTATATCTACTCTAAAATATATAATATATATATATATTATGCAAAATAAAAACATTATAAAAATAATTGTAAACGAATTATGTTTACGATCTGTATTCTGTATACTTTATTATTAATGAATAATACTTATTGCCTACTTTTAATAACATAAGTAGGGATTTATAAAATTGTTTTATTGTTTGTTCAAGTAGATTGGCTATTTTATTATTTTATTGAATATTTGTCCAAGACACTCTACTTTCTTCATATTCTTCAATAAAATAATTTGAAAATTTGAAAGAAGTAACAACAATATCGATTTTTAATCTTGAATACGTATTTGTATTTTTTCACTTAATTTATTAAAGTTATAGATTATTTGTGTTAAATATATTGTATATATGAACATACAATATACATTTATACATTTACTCTTCCTTTTTGATAATTTTTTTATTTTATTATATGTATTAATTTATTCAAAATTATATTAAAATGTTTACTACAATAAATTATAATACTTTAATGTTATATTAATAACTCAAATGAAATTGTCTTGTTTTTTGTATGCTTATATTTTTTTTTAATATTTATATATAATATACATCTTACAACGGCTACAAAAGAAATATATCATTAGGTACATACTTCATGTTCTCATTGTTTGTATAAATTACATAGTATTGATATGAATCAATTTAATTCGGGAGTAACATGCATAGTTATAATTTAAAAATTTAATGTTCAAGAACATTAGGTATTTAATTTAGTTTATTAAATTTTAGGTTACTTAAGGATTAAAAAACCCATATAAACAGTTAAATTTGCATTAATAATAATTTTAGAAAATATTTCAATTTTTTAAAACTATATCTTAGTCATGAACATAAGGAAATATTAAATCTTTTAATAATCATGACCATAAAATACATATTTTTCATCAAGGAATAAAATATTCAACTTTAACTATAAAAGATTCATATTATAAGTAATGTGGCTGTGGATTAATCATAGTCCATAGACCTATAAAGAAATGACTGAATACATAGGGATAAGGTTACTGGATTACGAAATTAAAATAAAATGGATTAAAAAAAAATATATATATTATCTTTATTTTATATATTAAATGTCAAAATCCTGATAAAATTGTGGGAAAGTACCTTAAGATATACAGCTAAGTATTGGACGATCTTTATTCCAATGAAGGATAAGTTAATTTTAATATTATTTTGCTTTTGCTAAAATATAATAAATTAAGATTTAGTTTTAAAAAATATATCAGGCGCTTCTTTTAAGATAAACCACTCATTATTTAATAAATAATTAACGTTTTTGAAAATATTTCTTTTAAATAATTTTAAGTAATAAAAAGCAAGTGTTTTAAAAAAATTATATTTTTTACCTATTTTTATGATTATATATTTTTTAAGTTTTTATATGACAACATGCAATTTTAATTTCATATTCTGGAGCAAAAATTATTTTGAGAACTTGAATTCATATAAATTAGACGAACAATCCAAATTAAAATTAATAAGCGGAGTGGAGTGGTATTTGGATATCCCGCAAAATATTGGTCTATTATTCAAAAACTATAATAGTGCAAAATTTAATTTATACATATCGAAATACTTCAAATAACTGTCTGTTTCATAAAATAAAAATGTTATGTTATCAAATAATACAATGAGAAACTTAAATAAATATGACAATAAAACAAATAGTAAATATATAATTACTTTTTAATAAGTAAAATATTTAATAGTTATTAATTTAAAATGTTTAGAATTCATACGAAATACAATTTTGATCAAGTTTGACAAATAAGTTTCAAAGACTGTTCTTAGAATCATCAGAAAAATTTATGAAGAGTTTGAACACTCTGAACCACGTCCGAAAATACTATACCCCAATATCCAATCCAAGTATCCAACATAGGAATGTCCAACTTGGTCTAATTAGTATACAAAGCGAGGTAGGTAGGTAGGTACACGCTGTTTTCTAATTTACTCATAAACTAAGCTTCACTAAAATTAAGATATCACTGATTTAGTGCCATGTTTTATATTTGTTATTTTTTTTCCGTTCAAAAACTTCAAAGTCGGGAGTTAATTCATATACATGACATGTCTATATGTCATATATTCATATACATACGATATGATGGCGACATAATAAACAAATAACTAATCATTGTGTTTTTATATTTGTCAATTTGTCATGTGTCAATATGTATTATCGCATGAATTTCTGCAGAGAAATAGCGTATATCTACGAAAAACTATATACAGTCGGGTCTCGATAATCCGAAGGTGATTGGGGAAAGGGGTCGTTCGGATTAGCGATTTGTTCGGATTACCTATAGCTTAAAAAAAACATCAATTTTATTGTAATTTAAATTATGAATTTTTATTTTTATCTATATTAATCGTGTAAAAACTTGTAATTTCAAAAGACAATGTATATATAAAAATATTAATATAATTATGAGTATAATTATGAACCTTACTATTAAATGTTACAATACGCAGTGTAAAACGATCTTTATGCAGTACGACACTCAACTGACGAACGTATGTAATCGACGTTCATATCTAAACGACATACACGTGCGATTACAAACATAATCGAAAAATTTTATTAGCGAAAAATATTATTTATAAATACATACGTACATACGTACATATTACATACAGCGATAAGGTAATCCTCAAGCTCGTTCGGATTACCGCGTCTTTCGGATTAGCCTGTGTTCGGATTATCGAGACCCAACTGTATATATTATGAATCATAATATAAGTGCCTATCTACCTAATATAATTTATTAAGAGTTTGTCAAGCCATTATAATTTGTTTTCCCTTTCTTCCGCGTTACCCGTACACGACAGCAAAACCAAATGTATGTTGACATGTTGTTAGTTTTATTAAGTACATTCGTACTTGCAAGAACAAGATTGAATTTCGGGACATCAATTACATTTAAGCGTTAACATTTTTACAATATTTCAATTTAAAAGCGATATAAAAGAATTTTTAAATCGCAATATTTTACATACTCATAACTCGCGTAAAAATTAAAATATCGTAAAAAAATTCAGTATGTAAACATCATGGATAATATTCTTAACCATAAGTCTGATAACGGGTCGATTCACTTTAATATTAATGCTAAAAACAAAGAATTGGTTTTTTTGAATGAAAGTTTATCATGTTTTGCGTGAATCTTCAGAGAAAGAAAACATCGTGCGCTGACATTGCATAAATTTTATTTTGTATGTATCTAAAGTCCCTGTTTCCTACTATGTCATATTATAATACCCAAAATCCTATAATATTTTTAGGAATACGTTTTACTTGTTTGAGCGTAAGTACATTATGTAGTATACTATTACAGTAATACGTGTACTGCCGCGGCCGTACTGGAGAAATTTACTACGTTTGAAGTTACTAAATTTCTGACTTATCCTTTGTTAATTTATC